CAGGTTCAAGCCACTCACTCTGGAACTGCAATTTGTAGTGATGACTTGATCCTACATGATGCTCTATATGTTCCCCACTTCTCATTTAATCTCATTTCAGTCAGCAGACTCACTTCCAGGAACTCCCTTTGCCTAACTTTCCATTCAACCATGTGTCTTATACAGGACCTGAAGCAGACGAGAATGATTGGTTCTGCCAGACTTTGCAATGGTCTCTATTTCCTTGAAGCAACCCTTATTCCTAAGTTGGTCTCAGCTGCATCCACATCCATCTTTGATCTTTGGCATTTTAGATTAGGACATGTATCCCATTCTAAAATTCCCATCATCAAACAATTTTGTACCTCCATCTCTACTCATCAAGACCAGCCCTGTGATGTTTGTCATTTTGCAAAACAGAAGAGACTATCTTTCCCTTCCAGTCAGTCTGTAACTGCTTTTCCCTTTGAATTACTTCATGTAGACATCTGGGGTCCTAATTCTACCCCCACTTATGATGGCTTCAAATACTTCTTAACTATTGTCGATGATTATTCTAGAATGACATGGATTATACTGCTTCAATTCAAGTCTGAAGTGAGACCAAAATTGATTGCCTTCTGCAACCAAATGGAAAGGCAGTTTGAAACCAAAATCAAAAGAATCAGAAGTGACCAAGGAAGGGAATTCCAAATGGATGAATTTTTCTCTTCCACTGGTATTCTACATGAAATGTCTTGTGTAGAAACCCCACAACAAAACAGTAAAGTAGAGAGGAAACATCAACACATACTTGCTATTGCTCGAGCCCTCCAATTTCAAGCTCATTTACCTTCTACTTTTTGGGGTGATTGTGTTAAACACTCAGTTCACCTCATCAATAGAGTTCCCTCTCCTGTCATATCAAACCAAACTCCTTTTCAAATGCTCTATAACAAACCACCAGACCTTAATGATCTAAGAGTTCTTGGTTGCTTGGCCTATGCCAGTACTCTCAGCAATCACAGAACCAAATTTCAGCCTAGAGCTAGAAAAACTGTCTTCTTAGGATTTCCTTCTGGCATTAAAGGTTACAGGTTATATGATCTCTCATCCCATGAAATATTTATATCTAGAGATGTCATTTTCTTTGAGTCTCATTTTCCATATGAACCTAATCAGCAGCTAGACCAACATTCCAACACACCAGATTTAATCTTTCCCATCCCTTCCACTGAATCTCACCTTGTTAATGATGATTCACTACCTCCTTCCCCAACTAATCTCCCACCTCCACAACCTACCCTTTCTACTTCTCCAATACCAACTGAACCTGGTTCTTCCTCTCCTGCTCCATCAGTCCACAATGACTCACCCATCAATTCTGCTCCATCTCCTACCATTCAAAATTCTTCACCACCTCCCCCTCCTCCCAGACGTTCAGACAGGACTTCCAAACCACCCTCTCATCTCATCCAAAACTATCATTGTTACCTCTCTCAAGGTCCTAGCAACATCAATCACTCAACACTGCAATAGGTCCAAGATACCAGGTATTCTTTCTCAAACATGATCTCTTATGACAAACCTTTCTCCTCATCACAAACACTTTCTCCTAAACATTTCCAGTCACAAAGAACCTCAAACATACAAAGAGGCTGCTCAACATGACATCTGGAATGATGCAATGCATCTTGAAATTAAAGCTCTACTCAGAAATCATACATGGGATTTAGTCAGTTTGCCTAAAGGTAAGAAGCCAATAGGCAACAAATGGATTTACAAGGATAAGTTCCTTTCTGATGGGTCCCTTGAGAGACACAAAGCCAGATTGGTTGCCAAAGGCAACACTGAACAGGAAGGTGTAGATTATCAGGACACCTTTTCTCCTGTTATCAAAATGACCACAGTCAGGACCTTCCTTGCCATTGCAGCCATGAGGAATTGGCACATACATCAGTTGGATGTAAACAATGCCTTTCTACATGGGGACCTTGAAGAAGAAGTTTACATGACCCTCCCTAAAGGCTATGTGCCTCCTTCTGATATCCCCAACCCAATATGCAGACTAAGAAAGTCAATTTATGGTTTAAAACAAGCTTCACGCCAGTGGTTTTCCAAGCTAACTGACAAACTACAACAGGTTGGCTACATTCAGTGTCAAGCTGATCATTCTCTCTTCTTCAAGGTCACTGACAGCAGCTACACTTGTATTCTCATTTATGTGGATGATTTGGTTTTGGGAGGTAATGACATTAAAGAAATTGAAGACTTAAAACAGATTCTTCACAGTGAGTTCAGCATTAAAGATCTTGGCAATCTGAGATATTTTTTGGGAATTGAAGTGGCTCGCAGCTCATCAGGCATTCATTTGTCACAAAGAAAGTATGCTCTGGAGATTCTAGAAGAGGCACAAGTTCTTGATTCAAAAATAGTCACTACTCCAATGGACTACAAACTTCATTTAAGCAATGATTCTGACAACCCCTTTGAAGATCCACAACTCTATAGAACTCTAGTTGGCAAACTCATCTATCTCACTACTACAAGACCTGACATTAGTTTTGCTACTCAGCAACTAAGTCAATTCATGTCATCCCCATCAATCACTCATTACAAAGCTGTACTACGTGTTCTTCGTTACCTCAAATCTGCTCCTACTACTGGCCTCTTCTTTCCTTCCAAAGGTACCTTCCAAATTAAAGCTTTTACTGATTCTGACTGGGCAGCTTGTGTGGATACACGTCGATCAACAACAGGTTTCTGCATCTACCTCGGCGATTCACTCATTTCCTGGAAAACGAAAAAGCAACACACTGTCTCAAGATCCTCTTGTGAGGCAGAATACAGAGCTTTGGCATACACAGAACTGTGAGATTCAGTGGTTACAATACCTGCTCAAAGACTTCCAAGCATCATCTTCTTCACCAGCTGCCCTGTACTGCGACAATCAAAGTGCAGTTTACATTGCCAAAAATCCCTCTTTTCACGAACGAACAAAGCACATCGAATTGGACTGTCATTTCGTTCGTGAAAAGCTTCATTCGGGAACTCTCAAGCTGCTTCACATTTCTTCAGTGCACCAGTTGGCAGACATCTTCACCAAACCACTTTCCCCATCTCCTTTCCTCTCATTGTTGTCCAAGCTTGGTGTGCGAAACATATGCCCACCAGCTTGTGGGAGGGGCAGGGGGGGGTAACATATTGAAAATCTCATTACAATTCTAACGGTCATCATTGCAGCAAGGGGAACTGATTCTGCTTATGCTGCGTCGTTTCAAGAGACAACCCACTTCTCTAAACGATGCCGTTCTAAGCGAGAGCTATTACTTGTTGGAACGATGTCGTTCCCCTTCTTCTTTCGGCTGTACTTTGCTTTATGTCCAAGTCATGTATTGTTTACCTTTCCAAGCTACCAAACAAAGCTTCAATGGTGCTTGTCCTGTAATGGTTTTGAGCCGCCTATAAGAGGCAGAGTTTGTAATGAGAAGACAGGTTTTAGGGTTTTCTCCTCACACCAAGTTCTTTGTTAACAAGAACCACATCAACAAGCACAATTTTCGGATCCCCTTTGTCTGTGGTTGCAGGAACCTCGGGAAAGCCTTGAGGCGGATCCGGGAGGGCGAGGCGATGATCAGGACCAAAGGCGACGCTGGGACGGCCAACATAATCGAGGCCGTCAGGCACGTGAGGTCGGTGATGGGAGACATTAGGGTTCTGAGGAACATGGACGACGACGAGGTCTTCACTTTTTCCATGAATATTGCCGCACCGTACGACCTAGTGATGTAAACCAAGCAGCTCGGGAAGCTCCCCGTGGTCCAATTCACCGCCAGGGGAGTGACGACCCCAACCGATGCGACGTTGATGATGCAGCTCGTCTACGATGGCGTTTTCGTCGACTCTGGAGTGTTCAAGAGCGGGGATCCAGCCAGGAGGGCACATGCAATTGTGCAGGCCGTGACCCATTACACGGACCCGGATGTTCTTGGTGAGGTGAGCTGTGGGTTGGGCGATGCCATGGTGGGCATCAATCAGAATGACGCCAAGGTTGAGAGGTATGCCAATCGATCAGAATAAGCAAGGAAAGTGGAAGAGCTTTGGCATTACAGAATTGTGAAATCCATTTTTGTTTTCGTTCTCTGTTAGCAACCTCGAATTCATTACAATCCATCCCCTTTCACATTCTTAAACCGTCACTTGCTAGCTTTCTATGAAGCTCTCTAAGTCACATCCATCCATCTATCCATCCATGATCAAAAGTCAATTTTCAAAGTGGTAGTTTGGCATGAACTTCTTGCAGGGCTGGCAACCGGTCGGTTTCGGTTTAACCGAAAACCGAATAAACCGAGACCTTACCAGAAGCCACCGTCAACCGACCGCCCACAGAGCCTCGGTTAGCCGCAAACCGACCGGGCGGTTTTCGGTTCAAGCGCGGTTAAACTGGGGCACCCGAGAGTTTGATGGATGGTTCGGTTCAATGGCCTAACCGACCAGGAAACTACCTTTTCTAAAAAAAAAAAAAAAAAACAAAATCTGCACCACTCATTTCAATCCTTATCTCCTCCTCTCTCCACCATTTCACACCCACCAAACCTTATCTCCTCCTCTCTCCTTCCTTCCTCCACCAACCACTTCTCCATTCTCTCCTTCCTTCCTCCACCTGCTGCATGCAGGGAGACTTTGCGGGCGACTTTGACGGCGTCGGAGACGGGCTGTCGCTCTTCTTCTTCGACGGAGCTGGAGCTGGAGCAGGAGAGTCCGACGACGATGACGGGGAGGTCGCCGGTGACTTCCCCTTCTTTCCCCCGGAGGTGGAGTTCGACGATTTCGACGGAGCCGGTGATTTCTTCGGTGAGGCGCCCTTGGACGGAGCCTTGGCCGTCTTCTTGGGAAACTCCCGCCGCACCATCCACTTGCTCGACACCGCGACGGCGCGACCCTCCCGGCGGCGTCGGAGCCGGCTCCCTCGCTGGCGACGCTGATGACAGGCGGAGGCGTGACAATGACGCCGCTAACGGGGAGATAAGCTCCTAAACCTGATGCAGAGCGAATTTCCCGAGCTGGGTCTCACCGGAGAAGACTGCAAAGAAATGACCTGGCTCGAATCGGTCGTGTTCCACGGCGGATTCCCCAGCAACGCCACCGTCGAGGCGCTGCCGGACCGGAGCAATAACTCGCCTCTGATTTGGACCCTGAAGTACAAATGCAAATCCGACTTCGTTCGAGGCGACCCGATTCCTGAATCCGCTCTGTTCAAAATGTGGGAGAAGCTGACGGAGATCGAGCCGGAGTTCGGGGGTATTCTGATGTTTCCATGGGGAGGGGAAATGGAGGAGATTTCGGAATTCAGGATTCCGTTTCCACACAGGGGCGGGAACTTGTATATGATCCAGCACATGGCGTATTGGAGCGATGAAGGGGAGAGGACAGAGGAGAGGCATGTGGGTTGGTTGAGGGAGTTGTATGATTTGGCGGGGGATTATGTTTCGAGGGGTTTTCTCTGCGTCGCCTGCGCCGCTGCGCGAGAAGGGGGAAGGGGGATGTCAGTGAGGTCGAAGGAGGAGTTGGGGGGAGCGAGGTTGAAGTAGGGTTAGGGCGGATAAAACGGCTCGTTTTGGGGAAAGGGAAGGGGGTCGGTTAGCCGGTTAACCGCCGATTTTCGACCCGGGTTAGTCGGCTAGCCGAACCCCTTCCCATCTCCTCCGCCAACCGACCGTTGCCACATGATACGGTTTTTCGGTTAGCCGAAAACCGGTCGGTTCGATTGAAACCGTCCGGTTAACTGCTAACCAAAAACCATTCTGCCAGCCCTAACTTCTTGAGTGTTAGTTTGGCTTTCATGATGAATAAATGTGCTTCATTATTCAATGTTCAGATAGATTCGAGCATGCCCATCTGCACATATTGAACAAAGCTGGGAACTTGGGAGTCCTTTCTAGCTAGCTGGCACTAACTCTTCTTTTCTTGTCTGGAAAATCACATGGTTCTTCTTGAGTCTTTCACTTGGTTGGTTAGGTGGTTTCACATTCTTGAACGACAATTTGAAGCACTATTGTATGCAAAAGTATTTTTGTCTTGGCTCGGTGGCTTGGCTTGTTTGGAGATATATGTACTGATAGTAAATCATAACAGAAGGTAGTTGGATCTTTGTATGCCTGCCTAACCTTAAGGCTGCTTTTGCTGCCTTTTATGTCTCAAAATCCCTCTAGTGTAGTGTTGTTCATGTTGGATATAAGCTTGCTGATTCCTTGTAATCTGTATTTGCTTGCTTTTGGAAAAGAACGAGCGGAGATGATCGATGTCATGGATGTATAGATTGGGTGTTATATTAGGTCAAAATGTGTAATAAAGAATTTGGAGGGTACTGAATAGATGCATTGTTGTGTCTGTGGTGGTCTTCACACTTTTGCTCACATTTCTCTTTCTGGATAGTGAATACAAACTTTATGTTTGATGGCCTGCAATGTGTAGTTCTGCAGTCGGATTCGATGCTTGAGTTGGGGAGTATGATGAATTATTATTAGTTAAAGATAGATGTGAAAGGTTGGGTTGTTGTGGGCTTGTGGCCTCGGGGAGTACGAGAGAGCAACCACCATTGGAGAATGTATGAACATCGTAACTTTAAGGGGCATATATTTCATCGACTTTATGGGGAAATATATATAATATCATACGTCTGGGACTTCAAGCATGTACCAAACGTGACTTGGTGTGATTATTATTAAATTATCCCTTAGTTTCCCAATCATGACTTCTTGTTATATCATAAATATTCTTTTTCATGGGAGTAGATTTGGTGAGTAACGTTGTTGTGCTATAACCCCATACATAACCCAATAAGAACCCGTCACATCAGCGCCTCCTTCTCTTTTCTAAAAAAATCTTTAATTTTTCTTCTCTTAATCTTTAACAGAAGATTTCTCACTCGTTTTAACTCGAAATTTAATTTTTTTCACAGTTAGATCAGATTAATTGTGTTCTTCAAAATGATATCCACTTTGATATTTTTTTGAACAAAAAAAAAGTTGGCAGTTATTACTGGTCTATACCATACGGTATTGACTGGTATTAAATACCAGCATACCATATGGTATGAAAAATACCACCCCATATCAGGGTGGTATAATATGGTATGGAGTTGGTAACGAAAGGTATGAAATTTTTTCACCCAGAAAAATTTGAAATCCAATAGATCATGATTAAATCGTTCATTCTGTGTAAAAAGTTTCTAAAATGACTAAAAAACGAAGGAGATACCATATGGTATGGAGTTGTTAACGAGAGGTATGAAATGTTTTTCTCAAAAAATATTGAAATGTTTTTCTCAATAAGTTGGGGTAGTTAGTAGGTAATTGTGTTTTGGGTATTTAAACTATTGTTTTACGTAGGTAAAGGCAAGCAGAATTAAACCTAAATCCTAATTGTTCTCTCCTGGCCGCCGAGCCTTTCCCTCTCTTCCTCCAAGCTGCCGATCGGCAGCACCCCTCCTCCCTCCTCTCTTCTAATCCCAATCCCCCAAATTCATCCTTCCGCAATTCCCTAATTCCCGGATCAATCCCTAGTTGATCCCTAATCTCCAATCTCCCGATAGAGCTTAATCCGGAGCTCTATCATTTGGTATCAGAGCCGGGTTCTTGGGTTTCTGAGCAAACGAAGAACGACGATCGCGATGGTGTCGACGAAGTCCATGCTAGCAACTGAGAAGGCCGCCAAGGCGGCGCAGGAGCAGGCGGCCACGACGGGGCTGCCGGTCGCCGGTGATGGCACGCAGGGTGTTCCAAATCCGGGGGATGGGGAGCTGGTAGATGAGACGGAGATGGAGACGATCTGAGTCAACCTGGCTCGCCTGGTGGCTGCGTTCGAAAGGGAACGCGTGGAGAGGCTAGTGGAGAAGCGCGAGCGGGAGGAGGAATCCCGGTGGATTTGGAGCAGGTTCGATGAGATCCACGCGACCTTGGAGGCGCTGCGGGGCGTGCAGCAACCCCCACAGAAAAGCAGCGGCGGCGGTACAGGGGGGAGTGGGCTGAGTGCGGCCGGTGAGCCGCCGGCATGCGACGGGGCGGCAGGGAGCGACCCGACCGCGGCGGGCGGATCAAGCGAGATGGCGGTGGCGGATCTACCGCCGACGGCGGCGGCCGTGATGAAGGAGGCGGCTGTGATGGCGGGCCGACAGGCGAGGGCGTTCAGGTCGGCATGACTAAACGGGTCGGCCACGGACAACCAGGGCGCGGCCGTGGGCCTGGGCTTCTGCCTACGTCGACGACCCAAGAGCTGGCGGCTCGCAAGGGCAAGGCCAAGATGCCCAGGTATGACAACGGGGCCCAACCGACTGGACATGGGCCGCCTGGGGCCGAATTGATGTAGTGGGCCCATATCACGAACCCAGAGGGCTGGGGTGGCTGAACATGGATTCAGAGCGGATCGAGGAGGAGCTCAGCCTGATGGGCCAGAATGAACCGTGGGCCAACCCGGTTGGCGCCGAATATTACGGGGGCCCGGACCCGGCAGTGGGCCGAGCCGCGCGAGTTGGGCCGGGACAGTAGGACCGGTTTGGGCCGGGTGGAGTCGGACCGGGCCGAGGTGGAGGGCCGCTCAGTCGGGTCGATCGGTGCCTGACCGATCCAAGCCGGACCGGGGCGGGGCGAACCGGACCGAGTCGCATGATACCGGGTGAACCCGAACCGAGTTGAACCAGAAGTGGACCAAACCGGTCCGAGCCCTGGCTAGTTAGATCGGCCAGTGTGGATCCGAACATGTGGCAAGGGTCATACGGAGCAGGGTACGTGACGGGTCCGACTGGGCGAGGTGTCGCGGGTAGCTTCGGGCGGGGAAGAGTATCACCATTCTACCCGAGCCAGCCAGGGGGTGACTTGAGTTATGACAGGTATGGTTCATATCACCCTGCCTATGATGGAACTGATGGGATGGTCTTTAGAGCCAAGCCCCCGACCATTGAGTTCCCAAAATTCAACGGTCAGGAGGATACATGGCTGTGGTTGTATGCAGCAGAGAGGTGGTTCAGGAATCACCCCATCCCAGAGGAGAGGAAGGTGCATCTGACATCTTTCTACTTGGAGGGTGAAGCCCTACAGTGGTGGGAGTGGATGGAGAGAACCTACGGGGCGGCCAGAACCTTGATTACAATGTTTCAGGAGGAGCTCCGTTACCAGTTTGGTAAATCGGAGGAGTGGGCTCCGGAGCAGTTGGCTAAGCTGAAGCAGACCGGCTCAGTTGCGGATTACCGTGCGAAGTTCTTTAAACTGGGCAATCAATGTCGTGGGGTCCTTGAGGAGACATTGGTGGGGCTGTGTATGGCAGGCCTAAAGCCAGAGATTGCTGCTGCTGTCCGAGTCTTCGAGCCGGATTCCTTGAAATCTGCTTTTCGTCTTGCAGGGTACAAGGAAGAGGAGCTGGCGAGCTGGAGAAGCACCATAGGCCGCTATCTGCGGGCCAGTGGCGCCGAAAGCAGTAGCGGGGTTAGCGGTGGAGGAGGAGGAGTGGCTGGAGCCACTGCGGGAGCTGGGGGAGCAACGGTGGCGCAGGCGCCAATGGCCGCGGTGAAAGGTGGGGCGTGGCCGCCACCCAAGGGGTTTGTGCGACTATCCCCTGCAGAGATCGAGCAGAAGAGGCGGGAAGGAAAGTGCTTTAATTGTGATGAGAGGTTCACAATCGGTCACAAGTGTGCACGACCGGACTTGATGATGCTGGTCGGAAGGTGGGAGGACGAGGCCGAGGACGATGCGAGGGAAGGAGAAGAAGCAGTGGACGACTACCAACCTTGAGGACAAGGTTGTTTTGAAGAGAGCGGGAATGATAGACGTTTTAATTATTTGGGTTTATGTTCGGTTTGAATTATTATGTTCGGGTTTATTTTGGTTATTGGGAAATAATTGGGGGATCAATAAGTTGGGGTAGTTAGTAGGTAATTTTGTTTTGGGTATTTAAACTATTGTTTTACGTAGGTAAAGGCAAGCAGAGATTAAACCTAAATCCTAATTGTTCTCTCCCTCTCTCTTTCCTCTCTTAGCCGCCGAGCCTTTCCCTCTCTTCCTCCAAGCTGTCGATCGGCAGCACCCCTCCTCCCTCCTCTCTTCTAATCCCAATCCCCCAAATTCGCCCTTCCTCAATTCCCGAATTCCTGGATCAATCCCTAGTTGATCCCTAATCCCCAGTCTCCCGATAGAGCTTAATCCGAAGCTCTATCAGCAGGCCACCCTAAAGGAGGCTACCAAAGAGTATTATAGAACCATATGATTGGATGTAAACAGTAGTGGTCAAAGAATGAATTATTGATAAAGTTATGAGTTAGATGTGTCAATCGCTAATAATGGCTTTGGTAACCAGCCTAAAGGAGGCCACCAGAGAGCATTAAAGAACCATATGATTGGATGCAAACAGTAGTTGTAAAAGAACGAATGATTTATAGAGTTACGAGCCAGATCTGCCTATCGCTATTAACGGCTTGGTAACCACCCTTGTTTAACATGACCTAACTTGCCATTAAGAAGCCACAAGTATGATATTTCACTATTTACATGTTTTCTTATGGATTTAGGTGTTTTAGATTACCGACCATCCCTGTGATTAGTTGGTTATGTGCAATATGAATAACTTTCAGGTATCAGGTACTATTGTAGATAGAGACAGAAGAATAAGTGTTTTAGATTGAGCATTCCATTATAACCAATCAATCTGCCATATGTTATTCTCGGTTTTGAGTATGTTTTAGGGCTAGCGTTCATTGAGGATTGATCGAAGACTAGATAGGGGCTCAAAGGGTCTATTTGGAGCATCAATGAAGATAGAGACAAAAGAGGTTGTGTGTAATATGCATAACTTTAAGATATCTGGTATGATCGTAGATAGAGACAGAAGAACAAGGGTTTTAGCTTGAGCATTCCATTATAACCAATCAATTTGCGATATGTTCTTCTTGGTTCTGAGTTTTGAGTATGTTTTAATGCTACCGTTTATTGAGGATTGATCGAAGACTGGATAGGGGCTCAAAGGGTCTATTTGGAGCATCAATGAAGACAGAGACAAAAGAGGTTCTCATAAACTATTCAAGACTGGTTTACAATTGAGAATTTAGGTTGTGAATCCACTTCATCTGCCATGGCCACAAACAACTTTGAATATGAGAAAAATTTCGAACATATCAAGATTCACGACCACTAATTAATCATGAATTTGCACCTATTCAGCCATTTAAAAGCAGAAACACCTCATTTGGAAAAGGAATCGACTTTGGATAAACAAACTAATTGTGAGTTATATGTGGAAGGAGAAAGGAATCTTAGATTGCCTTAAGAAAGAAACTCCATCACTTGGAGCTTGGAGAAATTGAAGATGATGGATCACATTAGTTTGAAGACCTCTCTAATCTCCCTTTGGTGTCTTTAAGCTTTAGGTGTAGTAATGGTCTACAGTAGGGATGGCAAATAGGTGAGTTTGGGGCGAATTTTTTTAAATCATCACCATTTTCAAATATCAAAACTCATACCCACCCCATTATCATGTGTAGAAGGTTTTGCAATCTCATTCATATACCAGCGCGGACCACGGATTTTGGGTACTCGTGAGTAATACCTATCCCGTACATCCAACATTACTATACTTAAAATTCTGCATGGAAATCTTCAATTATAACAAACACTAAACGGACTTGATAAATCATAAAATCAATAAATACACAATCATTCTTAATTCGATGATGATAAAATATCCATAGTACATTACTACCCAAATCATTTATATCTCTGACGCCAATACATCACTTATCTCTGAAGCTGATCGGACGATCAGGGTTTCTAAAACACGGCTTCTGATATGAAATTGTGATCAAAATAGGGTATTGACTCGACTCTCGCAAAAAAACAAAGACCCTCGTGCAGTAAGTCAGTAGTAACGTGAGGACAAAACTCAGGAGGGGAGAAAAACACGGAAGTTGCAAAATATTAAAAAGGCGGGAATCTGGCGGAGTTGGTGCTTTTGGTAAAATAACAAGGAAGGCGATCGTTGACGGAAAGAAAGAAAGACATTGTTTTGTTAATTATTGTATAAAAAAAGAATAAAGGAGACGAGTGATTGCTGCAGAAGCAGAACAGAACGGGAGCCGAGCCGCGCAGGGCAGAGGGAAGGACGCGCCATTTCTCTCTTCCTTCCTTCCTTCTTCTACATCTCTCTCTACTTATCTCTATATATTGAATTCCAATCGCGATACCCAAAACGGCCGAGCCAAAGAAACACGAAATATCTCCTTCCCATTCCCAACTCCCCAGCCCAGCTGAGAATCTCATCAGTCTCCCTCCACCGGCCGGCGGAGATCATGGGGAACTACAGAATGTGCGGGTGCTTCGTCAGGAAGTTCTCCGTCATCGAGTCCGGCCCGCCTCCCGACATCGCGGACGCGTTCCGCAAGTACACCGGCGGCGGGCCGGTCATGTTCCCCGATCAGCTCCGCCTCTTCCTCGCCGAGCACCAAGGCACCGACGACGGCACCGCCGGGAAGATCTTCGCCGCCATCTTGCAGAAAAGGCACCACCTGTTCAGCAGGCACAGCCTCACCCTCGATGATTTCTACCGTTACTTGTTCTCCCCGGATCTCAATCCCCCCACCATCGCCGACCAGGTAATCCTCGATTTCCTTGTACACACCCGGCGATCTGACTCTTCAATTGATTACACTCTTCTATTACTTGGTCGTGAATCTTGATTGATGCATGGTTTCCGGGGTTCTTGACCTAGGTCAAACAGAAAAGACCCAATCTCTATTGAACAGAACAGAAGAACAATCAGATTTCAGTCATTGTTCATGACCAAATTTAGAAGGCGGATAAAGATTAAGAAGGTCAAACCTGGGTTTGTTTTCCTTGTGTGTTTTGTTCAGGTGTATCAGGACATGACAAAGCCATTGTCCCATTACTTCATCTACACAGGACATAATTCCTACTTAACTGGGAACCAGCTCAACAGCGATTGCAGTGATATCCCCATCATCAAGGCACTCAAGAGAGGGGTAAGAGTGATTGAGCTGGACATCTGGCCGAATTCGGATAAAGATGAAATCCACGTTCTACATGGAAGGTATTGTTTTCTTTTTGTTAAGTTTGCTAAATTTACACAACTCTAAAAGCACTCACCTAAATGCTAGCTTGTTCAATTAGTCTCTAAAAGCACTAAAATTTGTACGCAATAGGACCTTGACAACTCCTGTGGAAGTCCTGACCTGTCTGAGATCGATAAAAGAATATGCATTCGAAGCTTCGCCATATCCGGTAATAATCACTCTCGAAGATCACCTCACAACACAACTTCAAGCTAAAGTAGCTCAGGTGATTTGTTATGTTATGCACTTAACTGGATCAAGATGATAAAGTTAGTTCTGTGGTAAACAAACCGTTGGATGTATGGTACTAAACACTAGCTTTACACCCGTCTTCCTATTTCCAGATGATCAAGGACACGTTTGGGGAAATGCTGTACTGTCCAGATGCAGAGTGTTTGGAAGAGTTCCCTTCACCAGAAGATTTGAAGTACAGGATAATTATATCAACCAAGCCTCCCACTGAGTATCTAATGGGTAAGAGTTCAACGAGAAAGCGGAGTAAATCGCAGAAGGACAAGGATTCTGATGACGATATATGGGGGAGAGAAGCAGCAGCTGACTCAACAGACCGTGAAGATGGTGAAATGGTAAAGGATTCTACACACGTGAGGATGAATGCCTTTCTCCTTTCAAGGAAAAAAATAAAAAAGTTGACAGCTAGAGGTGCTGATTCATTTGCTGCAATTTTCCCCTTTTCTGCTATTCCATATCAGAGTGGCAGCGAGTCAAGTGAAGGTACAGACTATGAGTTACTCTCAGGAACATCAGATTATAAGCGTCTAATAGCCATCCAGGCTGGGAAAGCAAAAAGTGGTTTGAAGCAGGCTCTAAGAGTTGACCGTGCCAAAGTTAAACGGCTTAGTTTGAGTGAACAGAAGCTAGAGAAGGCCGCGGAGAATCATGGAGAAGAGGTTATTAGGTAAAGAAAAGAATCATGCTTCGTTTAATTTGTTGTACTACGCTACTCTTGCATATGAATGGTGGAAATGACTGAATCATTCTGTATTATATCTGCTGGCAGATTTACGCAGAAAAATATTTTGAGGGTGTATCCTAAAGGCACTAGGTTCACTTCTTCCAACTACAAGCCTATTGTTGGTTGGATGCATGGAGCTCAAATGGTTGCCTTCAATATGCAGGTTTAGTTTCAACTCCAAAACCAAATTCATTAGTATTTTTTGACATATATTAAGCAGCTTCGAATAACATGTTGAACTAAATGCAGGGCTATGGAAGAGCTCTTTGGTTGATGCATGGAATGTTCAGGTCCAATGGAGGTTGTGGATATGTGAAGAAGCCTGATCTTCTAATGGATTCTGATAAACTGTTCACTCCCAAATCCCAACTGCCTGTGAAGAAAACATTGAAGGTAAGCCAGCCACCTTATATCCTTATCACCTGCTCTTTTTCTACTCTTTAAACTATCCTAGAAATAAACTTGAAACATGGCGAACTTGACAGGTTAAAGTGTATGCTGGAGATGGATGGCACTTGGATTTCAAACAAACTCATTTCGACAAATATTCCCCTCCAGATTTCTACACCAGGGTAAATTCTCGTTACTAGTTTTCCCATCTTGGCTGTGATCATGGCTCATCGCTTCACCAACCTACTTTCGGCAATGGCAGGTGGGAATTGCAGGAGTTCCAGATGATGTGGTGATGAAGAAAACTAGGGTAAAAGAGGATGATTGGGCCCCAGTTTGGGATGAAGAGTTCACATTCCAATTGACTGTTCCTGAACTAGCTTTACTGAGAATCGAAGTTCATGAGTACGATATGTCTGAGAAGGATGACTTTGGTGGTCAAACTTGTTTGCCTGTCTCTGAACTCAGACCAGGAATCCGTGCAGTCCCACTTTTGAACAGGAAGGGCGAGAAGTACCATTCAGTAAAGCTTCTTATGCGGTTCCAGTTTGTGTAGCATTTCTGTCCCCCTTGATGAGATAGATACCAATAACCATGTTTTCCACCAGTGATGTACATGCCATTTTTGCAGAGAGTAATATATATACGTAGCATTCTTACTCCCCGCATACTTTTAGCCAGAGCAGTATGAAGTCATTGCCATTTCCTTGTCACTCAGAAAACATTGGAAGATTCTGGTCTTAGACTCTTAGTAATGGAGATTGATTGTACTTGAATGATTCTTGGTCATACTTGAACTTCACAAATGAGAACGCAGCTCTGCTTTTCCTCGAAGAGAAAAGAGACAAGCGAGGGTATCAAGTTGTGTGTGCCCGATCCAAACATTTCTCAACCTTTTCATGGAACAAACCAAGTAGACATGGGCAAGCAATGTATTTCCTAGTACTAAAGAAAGAACTTTACAGGAATCATAGTGGCTGACAGAAGAAGAATTGTGTTAAAGTAGCAAGATATATATCAGAAGTATCCATCAACTTTTGCTTGCAGTATGCAGAAGAGTACAGATTCCCCACTTAGACAGCAAGAAAGGCAATCATTTCCCACACAAGCACAATGCACCAGCTATTGAGGAACACTACCCTTTTTCCCATTTCTTCTCTCTGGTTCTCGCCATTACAAGCCCATCAACCAATTCTACAGATAGAGAGAGAGATAGAGAGAGGTTTCCAAGGACAAATTTGTTGCAAGGATATTATAATGTCAAACCAGTCTTTCAATAACAATAAAACAAAGCAGTATTTCAAGGTTTGCTTCTGTTTCAGGAGAATCTTCAGGTTGAGAGACCCTGAGCCTCCTGAGGAGATCAACTTCCTGTTTGAAAGATATTCCCGCGATGGCACCATGTCTGTTGAGGACCTGAGAAGGTTTCTGGTGGAGGTTCAAGGCGATGAATCAGCTACTCATGATGATGCTTTAGCAATCTTCAACAGTCTCAAGCATCTCCACATTTTCCAGAGAAGAGGCCTCCATTTTGATGCCTTCTACCGTTACCTCCTCGGCGACCTCAATGGTCCTATCTCTCCAACTACCACGGTAGGTACAAGTACATCAATTGTTGTTATTGAGATGAATTGGTTCTTGATACAGTTCTGGAAAACATGGGCACTGATGATCAACTAAGTTTGCTGAAATTATCGGTTCAAAAACAAACACAGGTTTTTCATGACATGAGGGCTCCTCTATCTCATTACTACTTGTATACTGGCCACAACTCCTACTTGACTGGGAATCAACTCAGCAGTGACAGCAGCACCAAACCAATTATCAATGCTCTCAAGAGAGGTGTGAGAGTTATTGAATTAGATCTGTGGCCCAATAGCAACAAGGACGACGTGAAGGTTACTCATGGAGGGTAAGCTCAATTACAATTCTTGTTTCTCTGGAGACGTTGCAGATGTTATAAAATGTTTAAACCGACTTACAGGACGCTAACAGCTCCAGTGGATTTGCTTCACTGCTTGAGAGCAATCAAGGAGAATGCGTTCGAAGCATCTGAATATCCTGTTGTCATCACTTTTGAAGACCACCTCCCTCCTCATCTTCAGTCCAAGGTGGCCACGGTGAGCCCATTAACGACCACTGGCGATAGAATGTTGCTTTTAGGGAACTTACTAGCTCCTAGCTAGATCACTCAAATGAGATCATATTTATTGTGCATGCAGATGGTACAAAATACGTTTGGGGGAACTCTGTACACGCCAGAATCAGATGAAATGTCAGAGTTCCGTTCCCCAGAATACCTTAAAAGGAGGATTCTCATCTCAACCAAGCCGCCAAAGGAATACCTTGAAACGTCCAGCGCGGGCAGTAGCAAGGGAGGTGAAGGTGGAAGCAAGCAGAGCTCAGGAAAAGGATCAAAGAGTGATTGGAGTTCCTTTGATAAGGATGAGGGAGATGGAGAAGGTGGGATCCAGGAGGAAGATGAGGAGAAGACAGCTCCCCAGTACCGGCATTTGATTGCTATTCATGCTGGCAAGCTGAAAGGTGGAATTGACAACATGCTTAGCATCGAGGAGAACAAAGTTAGACGTCTCAGCATGAGCGAGCAGGAGCTTGAAACTGCCGCTAAAACTCATGGAACTGCTCTTGTTAGGTACCTGCAGTTTCCTAGTTTCCCCTTTCTTACTACTTGGTTTGAAGTACGTATGAATTCATTCTACCTAGTACTTGAATCCCCCTTTTTTTCTTTCTTTGTTTTGCTATATGCAGGTTCACACAGAAGAATCTGCTGAGGGTATACCCGAAAGGAACCCGCCTTACTTCATCCAACTACAATCCTTTTATTGGGTGGATGCATGGAGCTCAAATGGTTGCATTTAATATGCAGGTAATATGTCGTGCAAGACTGCAAGCTACATAACTAATTCTTATCGAGCTAGATAAATAAGCTGATTATGAAGCTAATTAGACCCCTTTGGCCTTCCCCACCTCCATCCTTCCTTGACCTGACAGGGGTATGATAAGCATCTCTGGACAATGCAAGGGATGTTCAGAGCAAATGGTGGGTGTGGTTATGTGAAGAAGCCTGATTTCCTGCTCGAAGTTGGTCCCAACAACCAGGTCTTCGACCCCAGCCTGGCCCAACAAGTCAAAACCATCTTAAAGGGGAAACTGTACCTGGGCGAAGGCTGGCTTCTCGACTTTCGCCATACCCATTTCGACTTGTGCTCCCCGCCTGACTTCTTTGTCAAGGTACCCTCATTGCTGTTTGTTTGATCTATTTGAGCAAGCATGACGATGATGAGCTATATGTCGAATCATTGAATGATCTGCAACATGGATCACTGAATTGCAGGTTGGTATTGAGGGAGTACCGGCCGACAAAGCTAAGCAGATAACCAACGTAATCGACGATGACTGGCAGCCTATATGGAATGAGGAGTTCCAATTTGAACTGAGAGTCCCTGAGCTAGCTGTGCTGAGGATTGAAGTCCACGACAATGACCTAGGTGGGAACCATGGGTTTGCTGGCCAGACTTACTTGCCCATCTCCGAGCTCCGAACAGGGATTCGAGCCGTCCCACTCCATGATCGCAGAGGGAACAAGTACAAGCACACAAGGCTACTTATGGAGTTTGAATTCACCTGATCATCCTGTCCCACATTTTCATTTTGCTTAACGAAACTGTTTACCTGGGTTGAAACCCTTCACTTATTAAGAACAAAAAGGAAAAGGCTTTATCAGTGCTGGTACTGGGAAAAAAAAGACTAGAAAGACAGAAAATTTGGAGGGTGTTTGACATGAATAATACTGCTGCTTGTTAAGAATAAGAACTTGATATCAACTCAACTAATGAATTAGGTAACTTATCTGCTTTCCTCTCTCTATCTGAGCCTTGGATTTTCTCGGAGGCAGCGGATGGTGAATCCATTTGATCTCTGCAAAGATTAGCTTAAGCGAGGGAGAAGTGGCACCGCCTTCAGCCGGGCGTAGACATAGCCGGCGAGCCAGAGAGAAGGGGAAACAAGGGGGAGACGGGAGGAGCCAGGAGGACATCTTTTATTATAAAAAGATTACTAGTTTTTTGGCCCGCGCTTCGCAGCGATAAATAGCCCATAGAGTGATTTTAGGAAGCTGATGTGGCAGAGTGTTAAGCGAAAAAAAAAGAGTCCCGCCTGATTTCAGAACAAAAAAACTGTCCATTACCCACATTTTTCTCCTTCCAGGCCCACGTTCTCATTTAATTTGTATTTATTTGCAAAACAACAAAATCCAGAGGCAAAGCTCCTTCCTCTTCCCCTTCGCATCAGTTCCTTTGTTTTTTTCGTAGGCAAAGGAAACTCGGGTATCAGGCGACGAAAGGGGAAGATCTAGGTTTCTGAGTTGCGACGGCCAGAGGTGGGGATTCCAATTTTGGTTCGTCGGTGAGCAAATTCAAAATCTCTTTTGTGTGACCTCGCCTATTGGGGCCTTCTCTACTCGGATTCTCCAGTTCCCGTTCTGGATTGCTCCCTATTGATGGATATAGTCGACGACGCTATTCTCCAAGACTGAGTGAATGGCAACCGAGCAACAGCAAAAGGGGAACCAGCTAGAGGGCCACGCGCTCGATTTTGACGTCGAATAGTTCGCAATTCTGGTTGGAGAGGAACAAAGGACAAAGGAGGCTCGCTAATCAGTCACAACTTCATCTGTTGTCGGGATGTTCAGATCCGGTGCTATGAACTGTGGGCATGTCATTCGCTCACCTTCAGTCGATTTTATCTAACCTTTTTCTTTTGCGGGCTTTATTTGTTGTTGATTTCCATCGTGGTTCATTTTTCTATTCTTTTATGTTCAGTTTCTTATTGTTCCTTTTTTGTTGTGTTTCATTTTTTGTTTTGTTCTTTGTATTCTATTCTCCATGTTTGAATTACAGGCATGTCGCACTAATGTTACCCTTTGGAAACCCCACATTCGATGTTCTCCTACTATTCTCTCCGCTCCTGTTTTCGGGAGACCGGGTTGCCCCTCTTCGTCCCAGGATCCCACCACCCCTATTTTCGCTTTTGAGTTTTCTAATCAAGCTTTCGACTTTAGCCATCGTCGGATTTGCTGGTGCCACTTGCACTGTCTCCCTCCGTCGTGGCGTGCAAGTTGGTACTTTGCTCTTTCCTTCAGCTTTCAATTTGGAAGGTGTCATGACTGTGGCAGACTGTGACTTTAGCAGTGGTGGGATAAGCCTTACCATGCTTTACATATTCTCATGAGATGTGCTTTTTTAGTTTGTATTGGTGAGTGGCAGCAGGATAAATTGTCTCACAAAATAAACACGTGTTTCCTTTTGGTGTTCTTTTTAAATGAGAATGCCCAAAGTTTCCTGCTTCGGTTTTGGGATACCATGGGTTGGCTCACTCTCTGTGAGATACCTTCATTTTTATTGTTCATGACAAAAACTTAGGATTTGCTAGAAATTATAAGGGTTTAGCATTAGTATTCATAAGACAATTAGTGAAAAATTAGAATCTACAATGTTTAGTTTAAAGTTTTGTGTTCTCATTTGAAATTCAGCCTGTTGTTCTCGGAGTTGATAGGCCTAAGTTATGTCTCAAATATAGATCTGATGCATTCATCTTATCATATCATTATGTAGAGTATTCTGTTCCACAGCTGATTTCTCCTTCGGGCCTTTTTTGTTTGTTATGTTCTTGGAAACTAATAAATTTCTAGGGAAATTAAAAGCTGGCCACCAACAAAGGATGAATGCCTTTTGTAGATTCTGTCATGGTGTTTTATTTTGCTGTGTCTATTCTTGATTTGAAGTTTCTCATAGCTTCCCTACATAAGTTTAGGTAAGGAAAAGTAGTACTCAATTAGCTATATAAGTACTTTTATTATTATAATAGAATTAGACAGTGTTGGGGGTATGAGTTTTGGTAAAGTTGTTAAGTTATTACTATCTCTACATCTTTGTAGTTTTGCCAAACTTTGTGGCGTTCAAAAGTTGAGTTATGTGGTTTAGTATTGTCACTGCATTGTATATGGGTTTCCTGAATCTCCATGGCTTAATGAGCTACATATATTTTGTGTTTTTTAATGGATAGGGTGGTTGTGTGGATGTATCAATAAGCTTTGCTCGATACTAAAAATATTAATGCCTAAAGCTCCCATAATATTAGTAGTGAACATGAAGTTGGTGACCTTGATGCTGCCAAATGCACCAAAATTGATCAAGCGAACCATGATATTATATTGCAACACCTTTAGTCGAGTCACTAAAGAGGAAAGGTCCATGTGAATTCAGAAAGTGATGCACAGATGATCGAGTTTTTGAATGTTTATTCTCATGAATGTTCAATTAGGTTTATCGATGACTTTATACGCATTATAGCTGAGTGGATTGTGTGTTTCTCTATACCTACACGTTTTATTTTGCTAAGTCACTTGTTGATATGACTTGAATCGGATTATCAGCCGCTACGACTAGTAATCGGGGGTCTCGCTGACCGGTCAGCGAGTGGGGTCCAGGGGCAACGCCCCGGTGGGGGTGCGGGGGCAACCGTTTCCTTTGCCAGATTGGATTAGGTTTAGACCCACATGGAGAAGTACTATATATACTTCTCATACTCCTCTGTAATCTGTAATCTCCTTGATATAGTGAAACTGGCTCTCTCTCGCCCGTGGACGTAGCTAACACACATCGTGTTAGTGAACCACGTAAATCGTGTGTCTGTGTTTTCGATTCTCGCTTTCGTATTCTTGCTTTGTCGATTCCGGCTATTTCCCGATCCGTAGCAGCGCGTTTATAACATCACTTTGTATGAATACTTCACCAAGTTTGTGACTCCATTTCTTTTTATGCATAGAGCATCATGCAAATCATCATGCCTTCTAACAATAACTATATATATACACTATCTCTTCCCGTCTTTTATCTATGGCTCTATCTTCTAATCAAGTTGCAACACTACTACATTACGCTACATATTTCCTAGCTCCTAGAATCAGTGGCGGATTCAGAAAATTTTCACAGGGGTGTCCTCTTCAAAAATTAAATTTAATTATATAATAAATTAAATAATTCGTATATTAAAAATATCATACTTGTATAATTTTTATAAAATTTTTATTAAATAATAAATTAAAATTCATATTTTGAGAAAATAATATAAATAAACTCCGTGCCTGCACTGTTCAAAAAATCTACATATCCTACTAGACAATACTTCACGAACTTATCACATATTCGATTTCTAACATTGTTCTTAATGTAGCTCAAAGTAGAAAAGACTCTTTCAACACTTGCCATGTAACCATAAAATCAATTCAAAATTAAGGGTAGCGTGTACGTAGTTTAATTATTAGGTATTGAAAATAGTTGGGGATAAAGAAATAGCGTTTTACTGTTGCATGATGTTTAAAATAGAATAACAAATGAGTAGCAACATAATTGGAATATGTTTGATAATAGTAGTGTCCTAGGTTGGAATAAAACAGACTACCACTTATATTTTATTAATCATAAGCAAACTATTATCGAGGGTAGGATAATCATTTTTTCAAATGTTAGGGTGTCCCGGATTACCAATTATATTTTGTATACACATACGAAATTACTACCGGAGGTTGGATAATCGTTTCCCCAAATTTTAGGGGTGTCCCGGGACACCCCTAGAGGCCATGTATCCGCCCCTGCCTAGAATGCTTAACTTACATAGCAATGTTAATTGTATATGATGATGTACTGTGGGATCCCTTATTATTTCAGGTATAGTTGGATGGACTTAAATTATTTTTACACTTGACTATTTTCAAATTTAGGATGGTAGAGTTTTGCACCAGTTTCTCAAATTTTCCATGAGTGAATGTCTAACCAGTGGTTCTGATTAAATTGTTGTAGGGGGATTTGTGTACTTTAGTAGGAACTCTACCTAAAATTTGCAATAGGTAATGGGTTTAGTAAAATGTTGGTTGATAAGGATAACAATGATTGTCAGAAAGGCTAGGGATTGATACATTAGTCGTCTACCACTGTTGGCCTAAATGTTTCGTAGAGGGCCCTTCCTCCGCTCCCTTCATCTCTATCGTCGTTCTCCGTCCTCTCCTTTCATTGGGTAGCCAGGATCAAACGGTTGTTTTGCATGTCAGTGGTTGGACGACGTCCAAGTGGATGTCAGTGGGCAAATTCAGTGTCGAATAGGGATTGTGTCGGAGGTAGCTAGATCCACCCATATCCTCCTGCTCTCCATGTCTGAGATTCGACCTCGGTGGCTACAATGTTCTAACGAAGAAATTGGGGTGTTAAAGTGCTTCCTCTAGAAATGCCACTATCAACTTCTCTCTGTCGAGGTAATTTCAGCTACCAACCCAAGCTCGATTCACGCCAGCAAACGAAATCACCTTCTGCGTTATGCGTATAAAAGGCAGTTTAAATCACACAGACCCACGAAAGCGTTTCAGCGAAAACTCCACTAGCAGCTTCTCTCTGTCAAGGTAATTCTCAGCCATCAACCAGCCAGCTTTTGATATTTGTTTCTATCGGTCTGCCATTTCGCTTCTTTATTTTAGCTATATGCTTCCCTCCTATTATGTTCGTGAAAGGTTTTTGATTTGTGTCTGATGGAGCATGATTGGAAATCTTAAGATGATCAATTTTATGCTTTTGTAGCAATAAGTTAATCCCTTGAAGAAATTCTAATTACTATTTTAATTTAATGCATAATTGTTTTAGTTTTGTTTGTATCTAATAGTAAACCAAGTTAAAAATACCAATATACAGAAATAATTTTAAGCAATTTATGATACAATAAATAGGGCAAATTCTTTTAATACGAAACATGTATAGGCCGTAGTGAGTTAGGATAATCTGATTAACAAAAATACATATGAACTAATTGTTATCAATGTCACAATTATCAAGTAGTGCAAAGATCACTTTCGATTATTATGAAGTAATGAAAAATAAGATGAAATCATCCGACCAACGGGTCGGGTAAAAGCTAGTTATATTTTAAATTTTATTCATTTATTTAATAATTTATTTGAAATCAAATAATTCACAAAATCGTTCATGTTAGATACTTTCATGAGTTTTACATAATGGTCTTAATCATTACGAAATACTTGCATCATGGTATTAGTTGGGGTAAAGGGGACGAAGTGACGCCGGGTAATATGCGGTAAGGAATCGGGACGCATTTCCTACCATGGGATCATATATTTGTTTTAATTGATACGAGAAATAACTATTTCTCAATAAGTTTTTCTTATTGTCTTAATCACTACAAAAAAACCTACTTACGTAATACATTTGTTTAGTTGATGCATGAGGAAATTTTTTATTACATAATAAGCTTTACGTAGTGTCTTGATCATTATGAAAGACTTACATAATAAGTTTGTTTAATCGATGCACAACAAATAAACGTTCCTCCATAAGTTTTACACAATACGTTTGTAACTTTCATAAAGGTTATAGAACAGTGTTACGTACAACTTCTGTAATGTGTGGACTAATAATAAAATTAAGTTAGTATCACATTTTATTAAACGGTTGTGTATTAGTTAATTCACCTTTAAAAACATTTGTGTAAAGCAAATTGATACATGGTGAATATTTTATTAATAACGAAGGAAATTTAGTTAGTAATATAGTAATTAAGATAAAAAATATCATATTTGATTAAAATATAATGTAAAAAATAACATACATAATTTTCGTGTAATGTAAATTGGTGAGATGATCAACCACTTAGTAATTAATAAAGAAAATTTTGTTCAAATTTATATCATAATTTACTTACGTATTACGTTTGTATTTATATTTAAGAAGTAACTATACGTCCATAAGTTTTTCATAAAATATTTTTAATTTGCATAATTGCTATATGGCAGTGTAAATATACGCAAATTGTGGTCTGATAATAAAATCAACTTATAGAAGTATCACATATTTTTGAAAGTGTTATGTAAAACTTAACTTACTTTACAAACTCTTTGAGTAATGAGAGTGATGAAATTTTGAATATTTTAGTTAATAGTAAACAAATTAAGTTATATAAATTATACTCTATATGTTTTACATAACTATTATAGAATGACGTAGCATAAATCTTCCGAATGTGTGGTCTAATTATAGAATCAAGTTACAAATACCATCACATTATATTAAACTGTTATATAAAAGCTAATTGACCTTACAGAGTATTTTCATAACTATTTTCGTTAATAATAACGAAATCTGGTATACCTACAGAGATTTTTTCGTGAGGAATAGAGCATCACACTTGCGCTATTAATTAATTAGGCGGATATACATAATAAATTTATTTAATTGTTACATAAAAAAATATCTATCCTTATATAAATCAAGGATTTTAAAATTATATTGCCAATACGATACGATTTTGTAAGTCCTACTATATAATTAACGTTTTAATTGTTACATAAAAAATATTTATCATTATATAAATCAAGGATTTTTAAATTATATCGCCAATACGATATGATTTTGTAAGTCATACTATATAATTAACGTAGTGTTTTAGTAATTACATTTCATTAGCTCTAAAAAGCCCTAAGGAAAACCCTTCTCTTGGCTTCACTTGATGGTTATGATAATACATAATGGTTATAAAAGTGCTGCAGGGAGAAGAAAAGGAGACTTTGCTCGTCTCCTTAAATTTGCGTGGTTACGGCCACAGCTAATTATAGCCTAATGAACAGTATACCTGCAGAGATTTTTTCGTGAGGAATAGTGCATCACACTTGCGCTATTAATTAATTAACGTAGTGTTTTAGTAATTACATTTCATTAGCTCTAAAAAGCCCTAAGGAAAACCCTTCTCTTGGCTTCACTTGATGGTTATGATAATACATAATGGTTATAAAAGTGCTGCAGGGAGAAGAAAAGGAGACTTTGCTCGTCTCCTTAAATTTGCGTGGTTACGGCCACAGCTAATTATAGCCTAATGAACAGTATACCTGCAGAGATTTTTTCGTGAGGAATAGTGCATCACACTTGCGCTATTAATTAATTAATTAATAATAATAATTATGAATTATTATTTAACCTTGGGTCGGGCTTGGCCCGTTTAGTTAGTGGGCTGGATCAGAGATTTTTTCCTCCAAAAATTATCCTTTTGATAAGATGAGTTAAGGGCGGGATACAAGGTACCTCCACTGATTTATAGACCAATAAGATACAGAAAATCATAGAAACTAGAATGAAGTTCAGGATAGCGTAGGACAAACAGTGTCATTTCCATCCTTGAAATTTTTCGCGACCGCATACCACAAAATTTAGTGAGGGGTGCTAAATCTTCCTATGGATTGATTCCTCAAAATTGAGAACAATTTTATGATATTATCTTCTTCTGACTCTACCTACCGCACAACGTTCCGTTGCTTGGTGTGTTTGTGTTCTTTGACTTGTTAAACAATTGCTCTTCAATCTCGATTTGCTGCCTTGCCACAACTGAGGATATTCATAATTGCTCATCTATTCAAGTGTTATCTGATATTAGTGTTTACGCGATGAGGATCAGTATATCAAAATATTGATTAATACCGATGTAATGGTAAAATTTGATAAGTTACAAAATATTTGGATGGGTTAAGTTTCATTTATTGTCTTTTGTTAACTTTATTGAGTGGATGCAGTTTTGGAGATGAGAAAATCAAGAAAAACGCAACACATATTTTATCTATATAATTCTTACACAACCATCAAGAGACACTTTTTTTTATTCGAAGACAGGACTGCTAATGTGCTAACCTCTGCGTTGACACAAATAGAGATGGGGAAGCAGCAAAAGAGACATTTATACATGAGTGGAGTATTCTCCTTAGAGCGGAGCTTGAACAGAGTGGTTGCAATTACGGCGAGAGGTATAGATTGTACTCGACTGTTGTAGATGACAAAATTGCAGGAGTTAACATGTGGTTTAGTGGGGGAAAAATAGAAGTTTAATGTAGTTGACAAATAAATAGTTACAACTACTTGGGTGTAAAAAAAATAGAAGTTTAATGTAGTCTTGAATGTTCTTGTTTCACCTGGATTATTTTTTCACCCCGGCGGACCCAAAGCCAACCACACCCATAGGATTTGGATTTTCATGATTGAGTTTGGGTTCTTAATTATCTAACAATAAATATGGATTGGTTGACTATGAAGTTCTAAAACCGATTCACCCACCCATCAACCCACGTACACTAGTTAAGACGACATCATAACGCAAATATCCTCTGACACCGTTCACGATGGCACACCGTTGAAGTTCAAATTGGCTCCAACAATGTGGCCAGGCCACCATATATTATTGCATTTTAGGGCCACCATTGGGGTGGTAGTTAACCCTAACCCGAACCCCAAAATAGATCTAATCTAACAACATTGAATTGAATGCTGCTGCAGTACATGTCCTTGATCTACTCTGTGTACTCAACGCCTGCCACAAAAATCGTTAAGCCGTATAAATCCTGACCACTCTGTTTCTGCTACCACTTAAGAGTTATGACACCATCATTATGCAATGGTGGAGCCAGCCACTGCTGCCATTCCCCATTCCCCAACTTATAGCTACCAGTTGGATTCTCTTTACTTCCTTCCTGGTCCCTGCCACCATCCACTCCATTTTATCCCCCGATCAAACCCTATCGCATGTTTGCTTTTGTTTTTATTGCTTCATCGGGCAAATAGTTCCCTACATTTTTCTTACTGCTCTCTCATTCACTCGTCCGCCTGTAAATTCTTGAGATCCAGAGCTTCAAACATCAACCAACATTAATGCAATACGAAAGCCAGCCAACCTATAAGAGAATAGATTAAAACACTTGTCTGTTCTGGGTCCGTTTGTGTTTTCCAGCATTGATCATATCATGAAACAATGCAACAAACAAGTACTTCTTACTTACTACTAACTTAAAACGTCTGTATTTTTCTTCCTTTTCTTAACTGCTTCTACAATTGCCTCAATTATAAGATTTTTACTCCAATGAAGTAACAGAGAAAGAGAAGTAGTATTTTTTGGGGACGAGAGAGAGAGAAAGGAACAGGAAAGAAAACAATTAAAAATCTTCTCTTTGTTTCTTTTGGGTTTGAGTAGTAGCTAGTGCAGTAGAGCGAGAGTCTTCTTCTTCTCATCTCCAATGTTGTTACAGAGGAGGAATCATCAGTTGGATTTGGTCTTGGCATTGTTCGGCTTGGAGAAGGTGAAGATCTCAGGGTCTGACTGGTAGAACACAACCTCCCCTGTGTCGCTGACATAGTGATCTTCTCCGAGCGATCTCGCCAAGTAGCCGAACAAATGCCATGGGAATGCCCCCGACTTCTTGGGCTCTCTGTAGTACTTCCCCAGCACCGGCTTCGCTGCCCTTGTCTGAAACATTGCACGTACAAATCATTAACAAAAAAAAACCCCACCAAGATTTTACTATTCACAAATCACCACAGCAGTTAAAATGAATGTCCTTTTTTACCGCTTCGACGAGGTGGTAGTGTGGGATCTGAGGGAAGAGGTGGTGAATGACATGGGTGCCAATGTCATGGTGGATGTTGTTGATGATGCCATAATCTCTATCAATGGTTGTCAGCCCTCCACGGAGGTAGCTCCACTCTTTCCCTCTGTACCATGGCAGCTTCTGCTCGTACCCGTGGTGGTGCAGGTATGTCACCATGTCCAGCCATGCCACAAATATCTGCACCCACCCACCCACCAACCATGTACAAAACAAGAGACAAAACAACAAAGGAAAAGCAAACCCAATTCAATATTACTTAAACTGCAATCTGACCATGTATATTCTAATAATAATGAGACGTGTCACGTGACAAATCACAATGCTTACAAAAGCATAATACAAAACACCTTAAGTCAGTCAATGGAAAGTATACGTTAAACAATGATGCATGATGGAGGCGGCAGAGTGTGCAGACAGACAGCAGCTCAACTTGCTGCAGTAAAAATCGATGAAAACAAGAAAGAAAGAAAGCAAGGAGGGAGGGAGGGTAGAGGAGAATGACTTACGAGGTACGGGATTCCATAGATCTTGAGGACAGGAAGGAAGCCAAAGAGAAAGGACGAGTAGAGGAGGAGTAGGACCATGGATGTCCAACAGAGGGTGGAAATTAAGACGGCTTTCCTCTCGTGTGGGGCAAACAAGTCACTGTAGGGATTGAAGTGGGACCCTTTCTTCCCTGGGCTTCTTCTCCACTGTACCATTCATTCAAATTCATTGGTTGGTCCGTAGGGGAGAATCAAACTCAAATCTAGAATGCAATCCAAGTATCCACCCACAGTGCAACACAACCCACCACCCACAGTGCAGAGAGACAAAAATCAGGATAACGGTTGGTTTTGCTTTGCTTACCAAGTAGATAGGGTAGGCGAACATTGGGAGAGGGATAGTGAACCTCATGAACTTGGTGCTTGTGTCCAGGTTCTTGTACACTTTCTCGGGCAGCTGCATTTTCCATCCCCCAAAAGACCCAAATGAGAAATGAACAATTCGTCAAGGATGATAATTGATTGATTCCAAGGTTCCAATGCATTTTATCATATAAGATGTTTTCCATCCGTCCATAAACACGTATCACTAGTCCAACAAAGCTTTAGTCCTCACAGGTATTAAACAGAGTAATTTGAAGAACTATGAAGGGAAGGTGAAGGGGGGACTTGCCGGAACCCAGGATTCATCTTTCTCAACATTGCCATGGTTCTGGTGGTGGGTCTTATGGCTAATTCTCCTGTTCCAATTAAAACAATGAAACTTCAGATTTAGCTGGAGAGCCAGAGTGGGGAGGGAAAAAAAGAAAGATAAAAGGGGTAAAGCTGGGTTCAGTATTCATCTACCATCCATGGTAAGGCACGAGGATGGACGAATGCAAGATATGACCCATCACATTGTTCAGCACCGAGCTGTCTGAGAAACTCCCATGCCCGCTGCATCAAACCAAACAAATTCAAGCCCCACAACACACAAACGCGAGACTATAAATTGAACCAGCACCCAGATAAAAAAAAGTTCAGGGCTTTAAATCTAGCCAGCGGAATCGAATCCAATGCATTCCGATGGTCAATTTACAAATTGACCCATAAACAAAAACAGAGCAATGGTGGTTGAATCTGAAGTAGAAGGTGAAAAGAAAGAAACCCATTACCAATCGTGTCCGAGAACGAAGATAGCCCAGAACATGGTCCCCTGAGCGGCCCAGTAGAGCGGCCAAACAGCCCAGTTGTCGAGCTTGGCGGCGGCGAGGGCAAAGCAGAGCACGACGAGGGCATCCCTGAGGACGTAGCTCATGGACCTCCATGGGTTCTTGACCCAACAATGCGGTGGAATCGCAGCCCGGATGTCGGCAATCTTGAACGGAGGAGCCTCGCTGGGATCGAAATCCAACCTTCCCCCATTCATGACGGCGCCATTGCCATTGCCATTGGCGTAGCCTCCGCCGTTACTCATGGAGTTGGGAGGGCTCATCCTGTTGGAATCCGGAGCAGTCTGGTCCAGAGCCACAGTTTTGAAGTCACTGTAGTCTGCAGCACGGCCAAACCCCTCAATCAGCTCCCCAATATTTATATCCGAAAATTACGAAACAAAAAGGAAAATCAAAATGGCGTAGGGTTTTGGGGGAAAGGCAACAAAACCCAAATTAAAACGGAGAATATAAAAGGAAAAAAGGGGAGATTATTCTTTTGAATAACGGAATCAATCAAGTGGGAGGGTGAAGAACAGTAAATGGAGATGCACATGGCTGGCGATGGACCAAATTCAGACAACACAACACAAACAAAGGGAGGGCCCGATTCCCCATCGTTTGGTTTAACTTTCAATTAAAGAATCATAAACTAATAGCGCGGCTGCTTCGTGTTGGTGACGTGGTGTGTCTGAATCTGAAAGGCTTCTCTTCCCCATTTGCATTTTGGGTACTAAAATGTTGGCCGAATCTTGGATTCACCAAATCACAGCTTCACCTCTTCTTTGTTTACTTGCAAGTTGTAATTTCTGGAGTCCAAGACTTGGCCGACTTTTCGGTACTGAAAGAGGACACCAGACCAAAGCTTTGAGATTGACCTTTACCCAACTAGGAGGCGGGTGGGTGGGTAACTTCGTTAACAACACTTGCACCTCTTATTCTCACCTCATTGTTATTTCCACTTGATTCGTTGGACTTTCATATTGCTCTAATAAGTCTTTTTCTTTTTCTTCATTCTTGATCCATTTTATTGCTATATGTTCTGATGCTTATGCAATATGCTATTTTAGTTACGAATTAAACAATGTAGTTAGTTACGAGACTCAACTACTCAAATAAATCGTGTTTCCTTCTAATACACTTCATATAATAATCGAGATATTTACTTTTCTTTGCTAGTCATATATCAACGTGGATTATCCAACTTGAATCGTGCTCAACACAAGATATATATCATACTGATATATCTACCTCAATCCATTGTCATTCCTATTAATAGAAACAACGACCTGACAATATAGCCATCTGTGATGACTAACATGAATTTTGGTTCAAACTTTTCTAGCTGAACACCAAAAAAAATTAATTAATACACATTTTTCATGTTTAAGTTCTGTCTTTTACTTTTTTATTATAAAAAAGTATGATTTGCATATTCTAAATTTTACTCCTCGGATAGAAATTCAAAAGGTGTTAGGATGATTTTATTCGTATTATAAGTCCCCACATATCATCCCTAATTATATCACGAATTGGGTATTTGTCCCAAAGAAAGAAATATACCGTACAATTAATATTTTAGCAGATATATGCTCAGTAATATAACCATGTTTTCACTCAAAATTACCCCTAAAACCCACTTTTCCAGGAAAATTACTCAACAACCCACTTCTTCAATCTAATTAATAATACAGGTAAGCCATGACTTGTCAAGTTAACACAGTTGAACATCGATGATGTGAATGTTGAAATGCTCCAAATTGGTCGGCGGAAGCCAAACTCTTTGGACACCATCATGTAAAAGCAATTAATCAACCGCCACGTTAGATGTTTGTGTGACTTTAAATTTCCTATTGTACGCAAGTACCTATTACACTTCTTTTCATGAAAGAAATCTAATACACGGTTTCATAATTCGTACTTATTTTCTATCAACTTTAGTTTTTACTTTAACATGATGATTTATTTAAAAACACAATTTAACATGATGATTGTGTGCAACAATCGGGTTTGGTTCAGTCCTAGGCCATACTAGGAAATAATTCGTTCAAAAGTAAAATGATTCGTTTGGTTACTATATAATTGTTAAAAAACTAACGTACTATAATTATTATATTATATATGTACGAATGAATTTGAGGTATTACAAATCATTATAACATTTGGTATATGAGATTCTAGTTTTCAGTAATTAAAAATAATTTTCCAATGAAAATGTCACTTGCAATCAAATGTCCAAAATCCTTCCCAACCCAGTCCGTCCTAATTGAACTTCAAATGAAGCATGTGTTATATACACCAAGCAGAGAGGATGATGCGAGAAATCGAAGTAAAATAACAAAAGAGAAATTCCTACATATACAACACGTAAGTTTATAAGATTTTTGACGAAGCATGATTGAAGGTCACTAGTAATGATAAGTAAGCCTATTTGCCTAAACAATCCAATATATGAATGAAGAAAGACAGTAGCCATAGAATAGAATAAGAACATAGCAACTAGTCTCTCTATGAAGAGCCAAGTGAGGATGAGTGATATAAGGTAAAGATGCGACTAGTGTAAAGCTGAACAGAAATATGCCCCCACACTCCAAGCCTGCTCTAGCAGACAAGCAGACCATTTTCCCTTTTTAAAACCCATGGACGTGGGTGGAAGAAGGAGAACATAAAACAGAGGAGAATATAACCCAACCAATTCCACCACTTTGGCTCCCCTTTTTGTGGGAATGGGGCAGCACAAGAATAATTTGTATTTCTCGAGGAGTAATTGAACTGAATCGCTATTCATCGCCATAAAATTCAAATTTTATCGCCCTAAATTGTATCAAATTGACATTTTTACCCTCTAGCCCAATTTCGAACCAAAACCTAAAATAAACAATTCCTTACCCCTGCCTAGCCGCCGCCGAGCTCCACTATCCTCGGGCTCTGTTCCCGCTGTCAAATTTTCTCGCCGGCAGCTGCCCACCTCAAGCTGATTTTGTCCAATACTTGGTCGACCGGAGACTAGGACGGCTTCCGGGTTGATTTTGTCCAATACTTGGTCAGGTGGAGTTTCGGCGGCGAGAGAAGGGGAGAAGAGGTGAGTTGCAGTTGGCTTCAGATGTTGTGTTCAGTTCCTCTCCTTGATCCATATTTTTCAAGGCATCAGGATCATCATCATCCTCATCATTCAAAGGCTTTCTTCCCCTCTCATCTCGTGTTCCATTTATTGGCTTTGCATGTTTACCGTTTGCAATTTAGGTTTTCGATTGTAATTTTTTTATTTTCGTTCCTGGTTTTTGGCGGAGGTGAGGAAGAGCGGCCAGAGGAGAAAGAAATGTCACCGCCGCCGACGATGATGGCGTCGTATGTATAGTTGTATGTGTTTGTTTTAGTGTTCATATGTTTTGAAAACAAATATTAAAGTAAGGATATTTGAGTCATTTTCATAAAAGTTAGGGCGATGAATAAGGTATTTTAGGGTGACGAATAGTAATGCCTTAATTGAATGGGTGGTGGGGTGAATGACATGCGTGTGCGAGTTTATTACCGTAATTGGTCACTCTATTTAAGTTAGTAAAATACGATACTTCAAAGTCTAGAATTGTATAAAAATAGAGGGTTTTGTTCTTTTTAATGATAACTATAATTTGCACTTTTCTCGGGGCGGTTAGCATGCTAACCCCCTAGGTGTTGGTTTTTTGACACCCCTTCCTTATTTGTCAATTTTTTTATTAATCATTTGACAAGTATAATGAAAGTAGACATAATAAATGCAACTTGTAGAATTTAATACTCTTATTAAATACAAATTAAGAATTAAATACAACACATTAATTACTTGCATTTTTTAAATCTAAACCTATATAAAATGCAATTCTCTCTCCTATCTCTAATCCTTCTTTCTCCTATCTATGATCATTCCTTTTTGAGCAACCTCCGACCGACTCCTTCCCAAGCCCCTCTCCACTTCAATTTACAGATCTGAATTTTCAATTTACAGATCTGATTTTTGTATCACTTCACTAATATTTGTACCACTCACTTAAATTCAAAATATGGTATTTTGTAACAGTGCACTGGTAGCGACACCACCACTCCACTGGTAACGATATCAGTGCACTGGTAAAAATGTCAAATCTAAATATCAGTGCAATGGTACTACATATCCGATGGCCGGAGAGATTCTGCCGGCGGGACCGGCAAAGTGTGGTGGTCGGAGGCTGTTGGAAAGGAAAAATCAGAGATAGGAGAGAGAATTGTTTTGTATAGGTTTAGATTTTTTTAAAAAATAAGTAATTAATGTGTTATATTTAATTCTTACTTTGTATTTAATAAGAGAACATTTATTATGTTGACTTTCATTAATACTTGCCAACCTCACTTTTCTCAATAGCCACGGTGTTTCATATATGACAATGGTTATGTGAAAATTTTCGGAGCACAATCGACATTTCATGTCATTTGATTCACGATTTTCAAGCATGGAAGAGCCAGAAATGAAACTACAGTTACCTTCCATCATCTTGGAGTTGGATTCTGTTAGGGCTGCCTGTGTTTGCGTTCCTCCCTCCCCCATTTTCTATTGTTCATGTATTGCCCCAATGCACAAAGCTGGGCACGTCTCTTTGGCCCTGACCCTGAGATTCTTCACAACCTGACAAACCCAACAGTGGTCACCAATCAGATCATAGCGATCCCCTGTTTACCTCACTCTCTGTTTTAACTAATAAACTTCAGTCGGGGGGATCTCTGTACAATCCCGCTTCATATGCTTACAGACAATAGAGACCAAACACGGAATACAGATTTATTCATATTCATATTGGGAAATTCAGGAGATGCACCACAATTACAGTGTCAGGGTTGAGCTACCCAACAGACAAAAAAAACAGAGCATTCGTCCGAGCCTCCCAAATCGAATATGGCGACGACTATCGTAACGGCCTCAGATTTATCTTCCCTTTTTCTTTCTGTTTTACCGGCCATCGGTTAAATTGGGTCACTTAATTTCAGGCGGGTATTATGTTTACAGTTCACCTGACTTGGTAAAAATAAATTGCGTTCATGATCTTGTTACTACGTAACGCTGATTCACAAATCATAACACATGCAACCTACCGGTAATGATAATAAAGCCAGAGCGATGCATAGAAAGTGCATAGGAGAAATGATCGACAATGGAACTGGAGTAATACCTGAAAGAAGGAATTTCTAGGATATTTTTTGGCTTCTTTTTCGATTTTCGAGTTCTTTGGCAATCATGGTGGTGGGTTTTTTTTTTCCTGGAAAAGGAAAAGAAAATGGGGGAGAAAGAAAAAGTAGTGGTGACGGGTGAATATGGGAGAAGAGGTGGAAGTGAAAAAGGGGGGGAGGTGGGCAGTCTATAAATAGGCAGTGGGCTAAAGAGAGGAGACCCAAAAGTGCAAATTGGACAGGAAAGGGAACAAGTGGAGTGGAAACGTAACTCTGCTGTGCCTAGCCATTTCAGGCTAGTATTGGTGAGCGGTAAATTGATCGAAAACAGAGCATGAGGTTGATCAATCTTTGACATAACAATCAAACAACCTTTCTTCTGTTTTGCCCCTACTGATTGTTCCAAGTTTGCAGCATCTATACATTTTTAGGTGGTGATTTTGAGTTTCGTGAAATACATTCGTTCTGTCTAGGTCATGCTATGAATTAGAGCTTCATAGTATTTTTGCATGTTACTTCTCCATTTTACTTGTGTGTATGGGTTGGGTGGTTAAAAACACAAGACAAACTTGAATTATTAGGACACATATTTCAAAATAGAATTGAACGAAAGCTAATTTTGCAATAGATATTTGATATTTTGAAAATTTATATTATATTACATTTCATTATATTACTCTTATGGAGATTCACTTGATAGGTATTCTTTCGCAACAATGACTATAACTAAACAATAGAGAAGCCTCCACAATGGGGTTCTAAAAGGCAACCTTACTTTAGAAGGAAAAATGGGTTGTGAAAATTAAGGGAGTTAGTCTCACATGTTGAGATTTTAAAATGATATTTGCTTGTCAATTGAGAGAACATGGTTAGACACATGATTTTTTTTTTGGTTGGGGTACTATTTGGATTATTTTGTGTTTTTGTTTATGATTTATGATATGAATGCTTATTGGGGTCCGGATCCCATCAGTAATAATAGGATTAGTAATTGTCAGTAACCCTTCATCCACCGTGCGTTGCATTTAATGGGAAATCGTCAGATCATGGGAATTAAATACACAGAGGGGCAAAACGGTAAAAGTGACCACCCATGTAATGCTGGCATTGACCAAACACGGACCCCACCTTTGCTCCCTCGCCTATCCCCCCACGTTTTCCCCTCTTTTTCTCAACCCAACAACCTTTCCCCTCTCTTTTCGAAAAGTTATTCTGATAACTTTAAGATTCGGTAGCAGAACTAACATGGTTGGATTTGAAGCCATGTTGGCCCAGGTTTGATCAAAGGAGGAGGGAGGCGGGCTTGTGGGGGCTCACTTAAGTGAGCTGGTTTTGGGCTTGCGAGTAGAAGCCGACCTAGCGTGCGACGCGTAGGACGAGCCGAAGAGGTGGCTTTGTGGGCCTGAGTCTATTTTGGGCGGGATTTTGGAGAAAGTAGGGAAAGAAACCCCAAATTGTATCCAGAAATAAAAATGAGAAGAGAATTAATGTCCCGACCACTTTTTTCTCTCTCAACTCCTCCTCTCTTTTATTCCCTTTGGTTTCTCTCTTTCCCTCCAACGAAAAAGACGGCGGAGACAACCTTCCTCCTTCCTCTTCATCCTCCGCCGTCCAGGTAAAGTCGCTGATGATGATCGAAGATGAGGGCGAGATAGATCGTCCAACAATGAGCTTGTCCCACGAAGAAGACTAATTTGTTGATGATGTATTAGATTGTTTGAGTCAAATAGATGGTGGTGGTGTGGCTGGATTCGATGGAGGAGGAGGAGAAAAAGAAGAAGGAGGTGATGTTGGAAAACCTTTTATATATATGTTTGTGTTGTTGAGTTTTGGTTGGGAGCATTGAATGACATTTAATGATGTTGGTGTGAGTTAAATATTTGTTGTTTGTTGATGATCCTGAGATTCTATTATGAACGAGTTGGATACGATTTACCTATTGTTTGTTCGACGTAGTGTGTAACCTTCTATTTTGTTTTCCATGTACTGTGTAAGTTGTGTGGATACTTGTTGGAGACAACTGATACTAATATTATATGCATTGATATTAGTTAGCCTACTGTTTGTGGGTTTGATTTTGATGTATATTTGTTACTATTCTGGGAACTTTGAATACTGCTTTTAATATAAACGTATGTGGATACTAACATGTAATGCGAATATCTCGCAGCTCACAAGACTTCGGACCTAGAAGATGAGCAAGCGTGGAATAACATATTTTTCGCACTAAGGAAGAGTGTCTTCATTTCTACGAACGTTATGGTCACAAAAAGGGTTTGGTGTTCGAGCAGATTCACAACACTTAAGAAAAAGGAAGAATCCGGAAGGCGAGGTCGTTGACATTTATTTCTACCTTCATTATGTCTGTAATAGGCAAGGATCCACTAGTGAAGTCAATGTTGAGAAATAAAAACAGTCCAATGACAAGGTTGTGAAGAGAAATCGCCCTAAAAGAAAGAGGTCTTGAATTAGGACTGGATGCACCACCCGTGTTCATTTTCGATGGATGAGAATAGGGTTGGATATGTGATGCACAATTTTGTTGGAGCTCATGGTCATGATTTGCTCTCCACCGAGCATACTCACCTATTCAAGTCAAACAAGTGTGTGAGCGATGCACAAGGACTTGTTGCTGAAGCAAATCGCAACGTTGGGATGAGTCTTAGGTCATCGTATCAGCTATTGGCTAAGTGTGTAGGTGGGTATGAGAATCTGACTTTTACCAAATCTGATCAGAAGAACCATTTGAACAAGAAAAGAGAAAAGAATATGGCTTGTGGCGAAGCAACTTTCTTGCTTGACTACTTAGACAAATAAATGAGAAGTATCCCGACTTTTTATGATGTAGAGGTAGATTATGAGGAGAAAGTTGTTAATATTTTTTGGGCAGACAGCAGGATGCGTGAAGATTATGCACTTTTCGGAGACTCGGTCTTCTTCGCCACCACCTTCCGAACCAATAAACACTTCCGGCCATTGGGTATGTGAATCTTATATAATTCGTTTTTTACACACTTTCAGTTATGCATTGTCTTTAATGTTTGTCTTTTGCAGGGATGTTTGTAGGTTTCAATCATCACCGACAAACTTGCGTGTTTGGTGCTTGTATGTTATATGACGAGACAACTTCTTTTGAATGGTTGTTTGAAGCATTTATTCGGTGTACGAAGAGGAAACTCCTAGTTACCATCTTTACATATCAGGACGCCGGTATGGCAACTGCCCTTAGAAAAGAGTGTTATAATGTGTTTCATGCCCTATGTACTTGGCACATCCTGATGAATGCAAAGAAGCATCTTCATAAGAGCAAGATATTTTGGACTTAGTTCCAAAATCATCTTGCTTTTCTTTTCTAATACGTGGACAGTGAGGCCAAGTTTGATGAGGCATGGACCAGCATGGTTGCTTATTGTTTCTCGGCAGTGACATTGTGGATGGCCACAAATGGATGCAATATTTGAAGAAATTTTTTCATCAATGGTGTTCCTTATATCTGAGAGATCAATTCATAGTGGGGATGTTGACAACGCAAGCCAGTGAGTCACGCAATGCACAAGTTCGACTCTTCTTGAAATTGAGGCATAATCTCGACGATTTTTTCATCCACTTTACCTGGTACGTGATGAGAATACTACTTTGCTATTTTAGGATATTACTTTGCAGTTTAAGGATATTGAAAAGGTAATGTGATGTTATTTGAACGTGATGATTTGATATTATTTTGTGTTGTTGGGATATTGGTCTGTATATATATGGATATTAGTATGGACAATCAACCTTTTAGTCTTTCTTCTTAACTGCAGTTTGTTGGCTGACAAAATGCGCAAAGAGTCTAAGTCTAACTACAATGGTAAACAATCAGACCCTTATATATTGTTGGATAAAAGCCCGATCCTCCAACATGCTGCTAAGATATTCACTTCTAACATCTTCACCCGAATTCAAGAGTAGTATCCGGAAACGAATCCTATCAAATTGAGCTTGTTCCAAATACTAGCGATGATGGCTTCATTAGCTACCTTACATATAAGATTGAGGATGGTGAGCGTAGCGATGAACGTGTCATTCTCGTCAATATTTCTACGGCGACATTGGTATGTGAATGTAGGATGTTTAGAACTTTTGGGGTGTTATATCGGCATATGATTAAAGTGATATGATTGCTTGGAGATTTTGGGAATGTTAGTATGAGAACTATTCCAGATCATTATATACTCAAGCGATGGACACTATAGGCGAGAAGGAAAGAGGTTGTTGGTGTCCATGCTTCAATTGGTCCTTCACCTAGCCCTGAGAATGATACGGGAAAAGGAGGTATAGCAATGAGGTACCGAGAAACCTCTGTAATGTTGAATCAGCTCGGAACGAAGCTATCAAAGGCGGATGAGAAAGTGTACACCAGGTGGATGGGAGCATTGAAGAAAGTGTGCAAGGAGGCAAACAAGGTATTATCAAAGACTATAACTAGGGAGGATGGTAAGTGTATCGAATATGAATTTGTAAAATTTTATAAGTTAATATCATTGAAAGGATTACTAAAGTCACTAACATTGTAGGGCTTTTTGTACCGACAAGTGGCCTCTATCTCAAGGAGAAGAGTAATCCAAGGAAGCATGGATAGGAAATTTTTCAGTCCAAGAATGAGAAAGAGCGTTGTCTAAAGAAGGATGTCTATGGAAAGAGATTGAAATCACTGGAAGTGCTCCCGCAGGACACTAGTTTTCAACAAGATGACTATCTCACTGACTTGGAAGACGACATTGCTAAATGGGTTATTAGTTTGTAACAGTTGGATATTTTATGTTCTATAAAGATATTACTCTAAGTTGGTTGGATATTAGTATGTGTTGTAGTGATATCTCTTTTGCTTCCACTGGATATGTATTCATTTATGGTCGGATATTATTCTGTTATATTTTATGTATGTTTGTTTTTGTGGATCTTTTTATGTATTCCAAACGATATTAGTCTGGGTTATCTTGATATTGGTTTGTACTTCGATGAAATGAACCAGCATTCAGTTTTGTTATAAATCATATCTCTATGTGAACTACGAGTATCCAGTTGCACCAACCCAATATCTATCATTAAACTAATGTTTACCAAACCCCAAAATTAACTTAAGGTGTAGTGTTTAGAGTTTAGGGTTTAGAATTTAGAATTTAGGGTTTAGAATTTAAAGTTTAGGGTTTAGCATTTAAGGTTTAGGGTTTAGTGTTTTGCATTTAGAGTTTAGATTTTAGCGTTTATGGTTTAGGGTCCAGGTTTTCCATTGAACATGTATCACAATAAAAATTTATCTATGTTTTGTTTGAGTTCTATTAGACGACTTGTTGTTGATGGAGTCAACCCACCAAAGAGGTATTTCCAAAGTCCAATGTACAAGGACGACAATGGTAAGAGGTGTGGTTTTGACATGGATTGAGCAGAATTAATGTTTCCCAATTTTTCAGAGTCCGATGAATAATATGTAGTTAACACCAATAATTGTTAGTGATGGATTTTATTTTCCAAAGTGTTATCTATTTTATATACTATTATGTGTCATTGAAACCAATATCCATCCTTTGAGAAACCAGTGTCCCTGTGTTTATCAAGCATGTGGACATTATCTTAGGTGTTAAGGATATTCTTTGGTGTATTATGGATATTAGTTATCAGATGGAGTCGGACCGAAAAGGTATTTTCAATGTCCAATGTACTAGGATGACAATAATAAGGGGTGTGGTTTTGACATGGAATGGGCAGAATTAATGTTTCCCAATTTTTCAGAGTCCGATGAAGAAGATGAAGATAACACCAATAATTTTTAAGGATCGATCTTATTTCCCAAAGTGTTATCTATTTTTATCTACTATTTTGTGTCAATGAAACCAGTATCCATAATTTAAGAAACTAGTATCTCTGTGTTTATCAAGCATGTGGATATTATCTTAGGTGTTACGAATATTCTTTGGTGTATTCTGGATATTAGTTATCAAATGGGTGGCAACGAATACTTATGATAACTAATATCCAATCTATAGCAAAATGAAATCCATCCTTAAGCATTGGAGAAATCATGATAAAGTTAGTCTTTTCTTTTGTCCAAAAGTTCCCAAAATAACCCAATCACATGAAACTAATAACATCAATATATGTCCAATGGAATCGTTGGTGGTAAGTTTCACTTTCTTTTCCCTTTGCCTTTTTCCTTATGTGTCGCCCACTCGTTTGCCTCCTTAATTGTTTCAGCCTTGCGGAGGTTGTAGTTTCATAGAAGGAGATTAGCTGCAATAGATACTCGTTGGTGCTCCACGTGCTCCTACTTGTGCCAAGCTTGCTTGTATTCCGAGAGAAAATGGCCAGCCCAGTGCTCCATGAACATGCATCCGAACACTCCGCATTCATTGTTTCACTCTTGTTGAGGAACATTCGCAATAGCGAATTCCCACTTATGCAAGGGAGCATCAATGTTCTGGTTTGCAAGGAAAGCTGCCCCATACTCGAATATCTTTTTCCCCATTGGACCATGATCGATCTTGGCCGCTGCGGGACAGGGTTTTTGGTTGTCCAGAAGGAAAGTCTTATTATTCCTTAGATCAACCACGTAGACCCGGTAGTGTTTGTTTTTATGCACAGGGAAAAAGATCTGAAACATCGAACACATAGTTAGTTATCTAAGAAACCCAGAATAATATCCCTTCAACCCAGACAAGTATCCAATAAAAACATTTCAGATATCCACAGTCAAATATCCAGGCAACCCATAATAGTATCCATACAATTCAGAAATGTATAAGGACAGAACACACTCAGTTAATCTCAGACAAATATCCGATCGAACTCAGACTAATATCTGCACAACTCATATAAGTATCAAGACATAACGGAATAAGTATTGACAGACTAATATCCAGAAAGACTATAATAATATCCATATTTCGCACACAAATATCCATCTTTTCACTTACATATTCACAGTTCACAAGGGATGCATTTTTCAATAGTGGAATCCGCTTGGCCACTTCACTTATCCCATCGACTCTCTCCTAGGTCATGGGCACTTTCTTCTGAGCATCTTCAACGACAAGTTGCTATTTACAAAGGAAAATAAAATATAATTAGATACTTTTAATCTAAATATTGTGAGGTATGACTGAAGAGCACACTTACAACAAAACTGAATGGGAAGATAAGTCTCTTCACCACTCCATTGGTAAGTGCTTTGTCGTTCAGGTATTGATCATATGCATCAATCACTTTGGTATTGACCCAATTGCGTGCTTTAATGTCAACAGGTGGAGACGGGCGAGTTTAAGGGAAGGAGTCTCCACCACATAGCCTGCATTATCAGGGGTACTAAAGACGAACTCAACCACACGACGAACCACTGGGTCGAGCTTTGTCGACACAGCCTTCGACAAAACATATACTGATGAGGCCGCAAAAAGTTTCCTCTTCGACCTTTGGAACTCTGGGGTCTTTAGTGTTGCAAGCCATTCCTCAAGTGTGTAGTTGTACATCCGGTCTTCTTCCTCGACGGTCCTAGTTCTCTCATGTGTGACAATCACATCTGGACTCCCTTGAGCGCTCTTGCAAGCCGGTTCTACCAGCTCCTCTTCTATAGGCAACATTCCCATCTCTGCATGTGGATCCAACGCCACTACATCAGTCATCTCCAAAAGGGTATCCACTAGATCCCTTGTATGTGTCTCCAGCAAATCATGAGTAATAGGCTCCACCACCTTATGAGCAGTCGCTAGTAGAACTTGCTCCATATCCTCCCTTGTAGGTGGATCCTCTACGTCAGCAGCAGCAGCCGCAACTCATGAGCTATCTGCATGATCTCCTCAAAGGTGGTATCCAGATCCTGATAGTGGAAGACCATAGGGACCATCAGCTCCACCACCTCCTCACGAATCTCTGTAGATGGCTCCACCACCTGGATATGAGTAGAAGGCTCCACCATTTTCTCAATAGTCTCCACCTGGTCCTTCTCTATATGATCCTCATCCATTTCCATTTCTTCTCGAGTATTCTCCACTTGTTGCTGAACCACCTCCACCCTGTTCTTCTCTAGAGGATCTTAATTCATTTCCATTTCCTCTTCATTATTCTCCATTAGTGTCTCCGCCATCTCTATTGTAAGTTGAAGAAGCACCTCCTCAACAGTATTTTGCAAAGGTCTTCTTCGGGAGTACAGTACACGACCTTGAACCTGTCATGCTCTTCCCTCATATCTATCATCTGTCCCAACGTTGAGGCAAAAGCCAGCAATTTGCCCAAATGTCGGTCAATCCTAGCACCTAGTACCTTAAGTTGGAAAACAAATGATGAGATTTCGCAAATTAAAAACTATCAACATCCATGTATCCATAATAGTATCCAGAATGCTCATAACAGTATTCAAGTTTTCCATAATAATATCCACACATAACAAAAAATAAGATTCGCAAATTAAAAACTACCAACATCCATATTTCCAGAATAATATCCAGAGTGCTGGTACGAGTATCCAAATGTAAAGAAATAATATCCACATCTCACAAACCAGTATTCATAAATGGTAAACAACAAACTAATAACCAAATGAAACCATCTAATATTCCAGAAAAACAAACTAAAATCAAGAATAAAACAAACCGGTCTTTCGAGAAATAGTATTCAAAGCCATTCCAACAAGGCAACGTTAAAATCCCATTCAGAAAAAGTACAACCCCGAGAAAGAACGACCACAATAGTTCAAATTTGGTCTTGCTCGGTCATATTCTCAACAATCGATTGGACCTTGTCCCTTCGAGCCACTCACTTTCGAATCATGCTCTCAGTCATTTCCTTCAATCTCTTAAACTACACATATGTTGTGAAATATTTAGATTACTATATGCATCCAAGTCTACCAATGCACTATCTTACGTAGGGAAGAAAAAATCGTTTTACCGGGTCTAGTTGAAGGCTAGTCAAATCTTCAGTCTCCCACCATTCTGTGGTGCTGTAGAAGGAGCTGAACTGCTCGCCCCTGTTGCACTAGTACCCCCAACAGCCATCGGGTTCTGGAGCTGGTTGCGAGAGGCGACTTCTTCCATACTCAGCAAAGCGACAACTAGGTCATATCTTGCCCCGTTAACCAAGGGGACAGCTAGACATGCCCTCTCCACATATTGCTTCCACCAAAACTGGCAGCTAGGAGTGATCTTTGTGTGAAACCCGCCTAGGCTTAGGAAGTGTAGCAAATGAAGCTGTAACAAAAATTCCAGCAATTTAACCAACAAATATCGACAGTCAGTACAAACTTTATACTATGTGACTAAAATGATATCAATATAACATTTTAAGCTGATTTCTTGCAATTTCACCAAAAAGTATCAAGATTCAAAACAAAGTGTATCCTATGTGACTAAAATGATATCCAGATAACGTTCTAATTATATTTCTTGCAATTTAACAAACAATTTTTGAGATTGAAAACTAACCGTATCCGAGCTAAGTTAGATGATATCCAAATACGATATCTAGTAGTTTCCATGCAATTGAACTAACAAGTATCGAAATTCACTTCTAAATGTATCAAAAATGTTATAACTTACTATCAAGAAGTAACCCACACGCACGGTTTGCCCTCCGCCCTAGCAACATGTTCTTTTTTCTTGCTAACAGTCAACTCTACCTTAAGTTCACAGACAATATAGGTACACCAATCGTACACCCTAACGTCCTCAACGCTCCCACCTATGTGTATGGGGCAAAGTCCAGATGACACATCTGAGCAAATGTTGGCATGAGCAATGAACCAGTCGCTAGCAACAAGAATTGTTTGACAACCATAGCAACAGGTGGTCTAGGACCTTTTGTTGGAATGGCCAAATCCCACAGCTTCATGATTTTAACATTGTGGCTCCTGTTACCATTAATTCCGACACCGTCCATGAAACTGTTGAGAATCTTCCACTCAATGTTCTTCACATCAATCACAGCCCCACCCAGAGGAATGCCGTACACACGTGCCTCATCTTTGGGTGTGATGGTGAACCGTGAACACCTTATTCGAGTCTCCTTCCCCGAAAATAAAAGTAGTAGTTGAGATGTCATAAGCCGCCATCAAGTCGTCGATGAAGGCTGTAGGAATTTTTGGCATTCGAAGGTCCAATAGGCCCCCGAATCTGGCCTTGTCGAGTTCTTTCTTGCATGATGCATAGTATTCAACATTGGTTTTCCAGTAGTCTATCATTTTGAGTAGGGAAAAGGTGGAACAGCGGAATCTGAAGTATGAGCACCCGGTCCCTCATCATCTTCTTGCTCATTTTCCTGCTGAACTTGTGGTGGTTATTCAGCAGGCGAGGGCTGTGATGATCATTCTCCATCATGAGCTTTCTTTACAGCTTTTTTCGGTGTCACCATCACACAAAATTTCTGAAACACAGTTATATAATATAGTTAGATATGTACATACCCCAGACTAATATCCATAATAAACAGAATAATATCCCCGGTCACTGAACTGATATCGTCGCATAAGAGTAGTAGTATTCAGCCAATATATCCAATTAGTATCGTGGTGAACCAAGAGTGTATCCTATGGTAGCTAAATGATATCCATGAACACTTAGTTACCATAATGCACAAGATATTATCAAAAGTGGCGTAAACAATATCCAGATTCAGGATAGTATCTGAAGTAATAAACCTGATATCCATGGAACCTTAAATCAAGCAATCGACAAACGATAACCAGATTCCCCAAAATCGAATCCAAGAAACCCTAAATCTAGTAATCTAGAAACAAAATAAAGAAACCCCATATTCGAATCAATGAAACCCTAAATCGAGAAATGAAACCCAAAATCCCCATACTCGAATCGCATGAACCCTAATATACCAAATCAACAAATCAAACCCAGATCTCCACAAAAAAATCCATGAAACCCTAACTTCGTATCCACAAACAAAATCAACAAATAAGGAGAGGGGAAGACGCCAACCTGAACCATGTCGTCCTCCTTGCAGTCGAAACTCGTCTTCTACCTCTCACTACCGGCAACGACTTCTTCCTTCTTGGTTGGCGATGTATTCTTCTTCTTTCCTCAAGGACACGAAAACCTTCCAAGAGTTCCTCCTCGTCGGGATAGCCTCAAAGTCGTCATCTTCGTGGATTCAAACCCGTCGTCGCTGACCTCGTAGTCGTCATTGAAGATTTTTGTGGTAGTTTTATGGAGAAGAAAAACGAAAAGGGAGAGGAACGAAAAGTTTTTGGAGAGAGTGTGGAAAATGGAAACCACGGTTTGAGGGAGAGAGAAGAGGGTTCAGGTTTGAAAATTTTTGGGTTTTTTTTTTAATTTGTGGGCCCACTTTTGCCATCCAAAAGAGTCTCGGCTTGGGCCTGCCAAGATGGCCCCTCTCTTCCCCCTCACGCGACGGCGTCGGTCGGCCTTGTCTCTCCTTACTTTTTTAAGAATAAGACATTTCATTTCAAACCGAAACCATCCTTTGATTTTCACAAAATCAATAACAAGTTTAGGGCTAAAGACAGAAATTACGAATATGAATATGATTATCACTTTCTACTACCATGGTAAAACATGGTAACATATGCTAAAGAAAATTACAAATATAATTATCATACAATACCATATGGTATAAAATGCTAAAATAAAATTATAAATTCAACTACCATACAAATACCACATGGTCGAACGAGTTTTTCTCGAGTCGCACAGTGACTCACTTCTACTGTCACCCTAGGAATTGGCCAAGTGTAACCACTTCCTAAAGCATAGTATAGCGGGTTTGGGTTTAATTATCAACCCGGGTCCTAGATGTGATGACTACTCAGTGAATTCTTGTTATCTAGCAATGAAACTTTAATGCAAGTCTAAACTAACAAACTAACAAAGCAAGTAAACTGTTGTATTCAGGTTAAGAGAGGTCACCCGGATATGGTTCCCCCTAGACTGCAGTTAAGCCGGATTGTAATTACCAAGTTCAGTTTCTATGAAAGTTATACTGCGGAAGGTTCTTAAACAGCTTGAAGTCTCGACTAAAGGTCTTCAGACCCTCTCAATCTGAGTCTCTAGCGGGCGACTAACCTCCACCGGAGTAAACAGATTGAGGCCTTAACAAACAAAACCTCCACTACCGGAGTAAATCCGGTACAGAATAGTGAGTTGGCTCCTCGACTAAAGTCACCAACTCCCTACCTTCAATCAAGGATGCTCTATCAACCTAGGCAGATATTCTCATTCTAGGTTAAAGCAGAAACAACAGGAATTTGATCAGGATTCAAGTCATTCAATCATTCAAACCTCAATCGAATATAATCAAATCATAGAATCAGTACTTGGGTTCATACAATCAAAGCCTAACATACAAATCTAGGGTTCTCCATACCCAGATTAATGGGAGAACTACTCCATGGAGAAAGAAGAAAAAGCAGAATCAGACGCGGAATTCATACTGTGAAGGATGGATTCCTGCTCCCGGACGTTGATCGGCACTTCTCCAAGCTCAAACTGGCCTCCAATTGTGTTGAAGATCAAGCTAGGGCACTTGGAGACTCTTGTTCGTCGCTTTCTCTCTCTAGGAATCGTTCTCTCTCTCAAAAACTCGAATCCCCTTCTCTTTGGCTGAAAATCTGCTTAAAAAGGCATCACTGGCCAAAGCACGGTCGAGGGCACGGCCGTGCTTTGCCTCAGCCCGCCCGTGCTTTGGCTAGTGTTAATTACACGGCCAGTGCATTGGGAGAAACACGGCCGTACTTTGGAGAGAACACGGCCGTGCTTTGGGAGAACACGGCTGTGCTTTCAGCCCGTGTAATCAGCTCATGTTTGCCAAACTCGAATTAGCTCTCGGCAGTAAAAGCACGGCCACAGAACACGGCCGTGTTTTGGAGATAACACGGTCGTGCTTTGGGAGAACACGGCCGTGTAATGAATTAGGTGTGCCCGTGTTTTGGCTCCAGCTCGACGAAATGACTTCCGAATGCCCCGAAACTCGTAAAATAGGCCAAAAGTACACGACTATGCCCCTCAAACGGATAAGAACTAGTGGCGCAAATATGTGCAATTACATCGTTATCAAACTCCCCCACACTTAACCGTTTGCTTGTCCCCAAGCAAACCTAACTCAAACCAATGCAACTCTCCAGACCTCTATAGCAACAAACAACCCAGATCTTAGGTAGAGGACTTCCTAGATCATTTAGCAACTTACGAGGTCAACCGACGCACAAGTCATCTCATAGCTTCTTCGGCGAGAGCACTAGTATCGAGTCGGTATCATGGCAAATAGTGAACAGAGGACAAATGAATTGTGGATGAAGAGATTCTCAAAAACAAAGGATCATGGACTCACATTTTTCAAGGTGCTCTATTTTCTTCTTGAAGATGGTTGGAACCCCTTTTCTTTCTGTTTTGCTTGTTTTCTGTTATTTTTTCTTTTTTTTCTTTTTTCAAGGGTCCCAACCGGCTCTTACCGGCCATGCCAGGAGCGGATGTCTCGAGCCTCGTGCGGGGGAAAGACATGTAAGGGGGCTGGAGGTAGTAGGTGGAAATTGGGAACGAATTCCCGTCTCCCCTTACACACTTTCGCCCTATTCGCACGGGAGACGTTATTTTGAAGCACATTTTCGAGCACCTGTTAAACTCAAAACATGATACAAGATTCCATGACAGGTAGAGAGTTCACAACACCACACAACTCAAGGGTCCTAAGATCACTAATTCACTCAATCAACCAACACAATATGAAGAAGAAATGAGACTTCTTAAATGCATCAACATCCTCTATAGTGCTACACTACCTCCCTAGGTTGCACATTACTATAAAGACTGTCAATTCAAAGCATACTGAGCAGGCAATTGCACGGAAACACGTACTTGGAGCCCTCAAATTTAAAAATTTGGATAGTGGACTAGGCTCCAAGCACACAAACAGATCTAATGCAGTCACAAGATAAACATCCCCCCACACTTAAGATCGACATTGCCCTCAATGGAGAAGAGTAAAGGATAAAGGGGAACGATGTTACCGGTATGCATGGACTGCAGGGGACTGGAAACGGACTAGTCGGAGTGAAGCGGACTGGAGAGAGGACCAGTCAAGCCAAGCACAGCTAAAGGAAACCAAAGAGCTCAAGCACAATATGTTAGGTCCAATGTCAGCCCAATAAGACATCATCCAAAACAAAAGAAAACAAACCAAAACCAAACCGGTTTACAATCCATCTCAAAACACAAGAAAGAAAGTCAAACCGTGGTGGGGTTGCCTCCCCACAAGCGCTTCTTTACCGTCTTTTAGCTGGATGCCCATGGTGGATACTCAGGGAGGTGCAGGAACAGGTGCCTCCAAGAGCGGATCCACGTCGCTCTTGAGGTACAGCTTCAGGTTGTGGCCATGCACCCGACGGATGCGACCACCATCATCGGTCAGCTCGACCTGGCCATCCGGCAAGATGCAGGCGAGTGAGTACTCAGACGGCCAGGGTGGTCGTGGTGCCGGAGGTGGAACCAGCTCATAGTGGTCTCCACTCTTCTTCCGTGCAGGCTTAGCAACCTGCTGCTTCGGCCGCCACTCCTCCTTGAGCTTTTTGTTCGGAGGTGAGGCTGGATGGAGTGGCGGCGAAGGAATAATAGGAGGGTCCTGCAAAATAAGAGGTGCAGAAGGGTACACAACAGGCTCGTGTACCTGATCAGACATAGCATGCACAGGGGTGACAACAATCATAGCACAGTGATCAAATTCAGTCACAGAAAAAGTAGCCTATTCATTCCCAGCACGCAGGATCAGTTTACCATCATGCACATCAATAAGTGCCTTGGAGGTGGCAAGAAATGGTCTACCTAGAATCAAAGGCACATCCACATCCTCATGTATATCGAGAATAACAAAATCAACAGGATATGTGAATGCACCAACACTGACAAGCAGATCCTCTATGATTCCCCTAGGATGCACAATGGAACGATCAGCTAGCTGAATGCTCATCCTAGTAGGGCTAAGTTCACCTAGGTCTAGCTTTTTATACAACTTATATGGCATGACATTGATGCTAGCGCCTAGGTCCGCCAAGGACTTGCCTACATGCATGCTGCCAATAGTAAGAGGGATAGTAAAACTCCCTGGATCTTTTCGCTTCTCGGGCAGCTTGTTCTGCAGGATAGCAGAACACTCCTCGCTCAGCAACACTGTCGAGAGATCCCCAAGTTTCTTCTTGTTGGTGAGGAGGTCTTTCATGAACTTGGCATACTTGGGCATCTTCGACAGTGCCTCCACGAACGGTATGCTGATGTTGAGCTGCTTCAACATTGCCATAAACTTGGCAAACTCAGTCTCCAGCTTGTCTTTGTGTAGGCGAGTGGGGAAGGGAAGCTGGGGCACATGCTCCTTAACCACTGGTTGTGTCTTGGGAGCAGGGGCTTCCTTCTCCACCCGCACTTCTGCATCGTCGGCTAGAAGTGCTGAAGCAGGTAGTGGTTCCTCCTGTCTGGCCGGGACAGGATCAGTAGATATGGTTTTACCGCTCCTGGTAAAAATGGCATCCAGCTGCTGGTGCTGGTGAGGATCCCGAGAATTCGGGATAGTGGTGGCAGGCAGAGTCCCCAGTGCCCTGGTAGTGTTTTGGCGGGCCAAGATGCCCACTTGGGTCTGCAGATCTTGCAAAATGGCACCCTGGTTCCGCTGACCTGCCTCCAGTGACGTGATAGCAGCCTGAGTGCTAGTCATGAATGAAGCTAGAATATTTTCCAGCTTTGTCATCCGGTCATCTAGGCTGGAGCTGCTGATGGCTCGGCAAACTGGCGCTGGGGCTGCTGGAATGGTTGCCCCTGCCTAGGCTGGTAGGGTTGCTGCTGTGGGGCTGGCCCCTGTCTAGCCTGGAAGGGCTGCCTCTGCTGAAAACCACTTGCTGGTGCTGGGAAACCAGGTGGTTTAGTGGTGTTGCTGCTCCAGGCGAAGTTGGGATGCTGGCGCCACCCCTCATTATATGTGTTGCTGTACGGGTCGAGGCGCCGAGCATTGGCGATGAAGTCCAACTGCTCTTGGGGAGTTGTAGACTCCCTCATAGCCTGGCAGTCCTCCACTAAGTGATTTGAGCTCTCACACCACTGACACTGAGCCACTGGAGGTGTAACCATACCTCTGCCCGGAATAAGACTGTCGGGCTGCTTCAATGTCTGCACTAGCTCAGCTACCTGCTGCTCGAGTCCGGATCTGGACTCCATGGCGTGCACACCATGGTCCTGGGAATGTCTGCTTCGGCTGCTCTGCCCCCAGGAATGATCTCTGGCAGCCAAAGTATTAATCATCTGGTTCAGCTCGGGTGGAGTCTTAGTGAGAACATCCCCTCCTGGGCATAGAGACTCAATCACCCGCTGGCTATCTGTAGAGAGGGCACTGTAGAAGTTCCCCACTGTGAAAGCATCACTAAAGCCATGATGGGGACACTGCCAAAAGTATCCCATGTACCGCTCCCAAGCATCATGAAGTGACTCATCTGGCTCTTGGCGAAAGTGAGTGATCTCCCGCTGAATTTCTGTGGTCTTCGATGCCGGATAGTACCTGTGCACGAACTTGTCCGCCAGATCGTCCCAAGAGGTGATGGACAATGGGGGCTCGGTCTCCAACCACCTCTTAGCATTCCCCGCCAGAGAATGGGGGAAGAGATGAAGGCAGATTGCATCATCCGGGACGCCATTCAGCTTGAACCCGTTCGTCAGCTGCAGAAAACGGGAAAGATGCACCCTGGCCTCCTCATCCTTCAAGCCATGGAACTGGATAGAGGATGTAATGAGCTGAATCCAGCATTGCTTGATCTCGAAGTTGTTTGCTGGAATAGGCGGGTAGAGGATGACCGGGCCGATGTGAGCAATCCGAGGAGTGTAGTAGTACTCCAAGGTGGGACTAGGCTGCGGTGGATGATGAAATCCATGATCCTGGGGTATGGGGTTGTTCCCCAGGACCTGATTCACTGGGGGAGCCTGCTGAGGATTCCCCTGGTGCTGATTGTAGTCTCCGTCCATCCCGTACTCTTCTTCAGAATAGCTACTCAGGTGGCCGTCTATGCGCTCTTCCGTAGCCAGTCTAGCTCGCTGGTGTCTCCTGAGTTGGCGACAGGTGCGGTCAATCTCTGGATTCAACGGCAGTAAACCTCCCGACTGGCTACGGGTCATGCACTACCTGCACACACTCAAGCAAGCAAACCCGTGAAGGCACAAGTGGGACAAAGCAAACAGAGTGAAAAGAAAAGCTAAATTAACAGAAATCACTTTTCTTCAACAACCTAGCCGTCCCCGGCAACGGCGCCAAAAACTTGACTCACTTCTACTATCACCCTAGGAATTGGCCAAGTGTAACCACTTCCTAAAGCGTAGTATAGCGGGTTTGGGTTTAATTATCAACCCCGGTCCTAGATGTGATGACTACTCAGTGAATTCTTGTTATCTAGCAATGAAACTTTAATGCAAGTCTAAACTAACAAACTAACAAAGCAAGTAAACTGTTGTATTCAGGTTAAGAGAGGTCACCCGGATATGGTTCCCCCTAGACTGCAGTTAAGCCGGATTGTAATTACCAATTTCAGTTTCTATGAAAGTTATACTGCGGAAGGTTCTTAAACAGCTTGAAGTCTCAACTAAAGGTCTTCAGACCCTCTCAATCTGAGTCTCTAGCGGGCGACTAACCTCCACCGGAGTAAACAGATTGAGGCCTTAACAAACAAAACCTCCACTACCGGAGTAAATCCGGTACAGAATAGTGAGTTGGCTCCTCGACTAAAGTCACCAACTCCCTACCTTCAATCAAGGATGCTCTATCAACCTAGGCAGATATTCTCATTCTAGGTTAAAGCAGAAACAACAGGAATTTGATCAGGATTCAAGTCATTCAATCATTCAAACCTCAATCGAATATAATCAAATCATAGAATCAGTACTTGGGTTCATACAATCAAAGCCTAACATACAAATCTAGGGTTCTCCATACCCAGATGAATGGGAGAACTACTCCATGGAGAAAGAAGCAAAAGCAGAATCAGACGCGGAATTCATACTGTGAAGGATGGATTCCTGCTCCTGGACGTTGATCGGCACTTCTCCAAGCTCAAACTGGCCTCCAATGGTGTTGAAGATCAAGCTAGGGCACTTGGAGACTCTTGTTCGTCGCTTTCTCTCTCTAGGAATCGTTCTCTCTCTCAAAAACTCGAATCCCCTTCTCTTTGGCTGAAAATCTGCTTAAAAAGGCATCACTGGCCAAAGCACGGTCGAGGGCACGGCCGTGCTTTGCCTCAGCCCGCCCGTGCTTTGGCTAGTGTTAATTACACGGCCAGTGCATTGGGAGAAACACGGCCGTGCTTTGGAGAGAACACGGCCGTGCTTTGGGAGAACACGGCCGTGCTTTCAGCCCGTGTAATTAGCTCATGTTTGCCAAACTCGAATTAGCTCTCGGCAGTAAAAGCACGGCCACAGAACACGGCCGTGTTTTGGAGAGAACACGGCCGTGCTTTGGGAGAACACGGCTGTGTAATGAATTAGGTGTGCCCGTGTTTTGGCTCCAGCTCGACGAAATGACTTCCGAATGCCCCGAAACTCGTGCTTAGCCTTTCCTTTGACGCCTGGGACCTGAAATATGACAAAATAGCACAACCCGGCGTAAAATAGGCCAAAAGTACACGACTATGCCCCTCAAACGGATAAGAACTAGGGGCGCAAATATGTGCAATTACATCGTTATCACACGGCGAGCCGTTCATGAGCGGCTTGGTTCATTAACAACCTTACTACCATACAATACTATCATAGTAAAACATGGTAAATCGAATGACCACAAATTAATTATAATTACCATACAATACTACATGGTCTGAGAAGGTAAAATCATATAAAAACAATATAAATCTAATTACAACCCTCTACAACCATAATAAAACAAGAAATTCATAAAAATACATTTTGTGACCACACATGGTAATGATATAATATGGTAATCTCTCTCTGTCTACATATATATATATGATTACGACTTTCTCAATATATATAAGAAAGGATAGAAGAAAGAAGCAGTTCGAGAGAAGAAGGATCTGCAACGTCACAGGATTTGAGGCCAACGATTTGACGAAGAGAAAAAACACAATGAAAGAGGAAGGTTTCAATCTTTCTTCGTCGATTTCTGGAAAAAAAAAATGAAAAACAAGAAAAATGAGCAGATCTAGATCCGTAGAAGGAGATTGAGAGAGAGAAAGGAAGAGAGAAAAGAGAGTTGCAGAGAAAACACTATTTCTCTCTCCTTGAAGAGTTAGCTATTAAATGTTGGATAAATTAAAAGTGGACAATAATGCCCCTCCCCACCCCCGCGTCCAGCACAGTCGTACGATGGCTCCGCCCTAGATCTACGGTCCATATGTGTTTACTGATGGATGAGTAACTTGTGGTTACTCACCTGATCTTACGCGGTTACGCCTATTGGGTGGAAGAGTGTTGAGAGTATTTTATTATTGGTAGGGCGTATTAATTTGGATATTTGTAGAAAGTTTATCGATTTTTATATTAGGTAACTTTGGAATTATTTTTCTGATTAAGAAATACAAAACAACTTTTCGTAGACCTAATCTCTCTCTCGGTCAAAACTCCTCTCCCCCCTCTTGAGGCGTCGGCTGCCTTCCTCTCTCTCACTCTCCTTCTTTATCAATTATGCTCCTAAACCTTCTAATCTCAATCTCTAATTCCAATTATCCCATATTTGTTACTAATCTTTGTTACATAAACCCGAGACGGAGACGCCTAGATAATGTATTATTACAGTGGTATCAGAGCTTGCATGGGGTATGGGTTTAGAAGCCAATTCGATGGAGCATAATTCAGACCAATCGGTGCAGGAGCGGGTTTAGATCAGGAATCTCACAGCACACGAAACACAATAGACAATGCTTCAGATCCTGGTGAACAGACAAGATGATATGAGTTGGAGGCTAGAGCATATCTCTATGCATATTGTTATGGCGACTCTGACCAACTCGGAGATCATGAGGATGAAACCGGAGCTCTCAGCGGGCTCGAGAGTTAGGAGAGTCCTTATGCTTTGTGTGTTCGCCCCATTCATAGTGGGAATAGGGATAAACTTTTTCGACTCCAACCATCCCCGGATTGGGTCATGGAGGGATTGGGATAGCTTCTAGGTAGGTGTAATCTTTCCTCATTTCTCATGTACCCAAAAATATAATGTACCATATTGGTTGATGAATTCACATAAATCATAACACTCCTGTGATTTAATTTAAATCAGCACACAACATAAATAAAATAAAAGTCAATCAAGGTTCCATCCATGGATACAAGGCATAGGCAGTAGAAGAAACACTATACATGTGAGAACTGTCGTGTGTGTGTTAGTGATTATAAGATGCAAGAATACAGTACAAGTGCAAGAACTGGGAGATTTCAGGAAAACATACCTTACCTATTGTTTGTCATCTTTGTGATCGACCTTGACCCGAGGTAGTCCCACTAACTCCCGATAATTATTTGAGATTGGTGAGAACATCTTGGGCATACCTCTTGGCGTTACCATTCCCATGCTTCAATGCCTCTACCAAAGCCCCAACCAGAGACTGGTTCAGAGAATGCCTATGGCTGTAACCCTCTGCTATCAGGAACTTACCGACCATCAGGATTGCCTTCTCTTGCAGCTCTCCGGGTCGAACTTTCATGAACAGCTCAATGACAACATCTACCACCCCGACTTTTTCAAGCTCATTCATGGCTCTCTTGGGGATGTTCGAAGAATAAGGCAGCAGGGTCGAAAGTGCTTCCACTGCAGAGATCCGAACGCCTGTCTGGTCTTCCCCAAGGAGATTGATCAATGGTTTGATGGAATTGCTACTCAGAAGACATACCTGACCGCCATCATCACACGAGGCATTGTGTAGTGGGCAAGTGGAAAGTTCGAGAGTGCCTCGGCTGCACAAGAAGATGATGGGAACACAAAACCCTCCGGGAGGTATCGGTTCTGGGCAGGTAATAACCTTCTGGCTTCTGATAAGTTTCTCAGCCCAAGAGCAGATAGTTCTTTTAGTCTTGGCTTTGAAGGAAAACTGAGCTCCTCCCGAAAAAGATTCATCAGACGAAGTTCTCTCACCATGCTAACAGTTTGATGATCATCAAGACGCTTAGTGAAATGTAGCAGTAGGCCAAGAATCCCTTCTGTTATGCTTGATGATGTTGTCCTTGATGCTTTGCCATTGGCGCCGCGATTTCGATTTTTGGGAGGGTTGACTATCCATCTTACAAAACTAGCCTCAAGCAGTGATTTCATTTCGTCACCCGAGAAAGAAAGGTAGGCCAGTATGCACGCAACATCAGATCTCTCAGTATATGTAGATTGGTCATCTTGTAGTTTGTCTTTCAACAATAAACTCTTGTTACAAGTTTGTAGCTCATAGAATAAGTCTTGAGCAAACCTTTTTTAGAGAAATCTTGTTAGTCTATAAGCACTGATTCGATGTCCAACTTCCGGGTGCTCAAGATAATGTAAAACTGTTTTGATGCTATCAACATTCTTTATTCTATTTGAAACTGATTCTGCAAAATCAGCAATTTCCGTTTCAACTGATGCCATGAGTTGGTGTCTAACGCGAAAAAACGTTTGTAACCAAGTCCTAGACTCGATAGTATCGTATCATAGGAAGGAGAGGCGAGTAGGGTGGGTCGGCCATTTGCCCCGGGTTTGCTTGTTATTTCGGTACCTATATATAAGGGTTCAGAACAGTATTTTTATTAAGAACTAAGAAATAATTAAATCCCTAATCTCTTCTTCTCTCAATTCTTCCCCAATTCTTCTAATCCCTAATTCCTTCTCTTCTTCAGTTTCCAATTCCCCTTTCTCAACTACAGGTATCTATCATCTGGTATCAGAGCCAGAATGAACCCATCCAAGTTCTTCGTTTCAGAGTGGATTCGTCTCAGCCAACGTTTGCACCAGCCTCTTGACCGCTACGAATGGGAAGCGCCGGAGAGGGCGGCGGCCGAGGGCGAGATGGTGGAGATGGCGGTGGGTACCGCCACGGGCAAGGCAGGGTGGCGGCGGTCAGCGGGGCTGACCAAGGCCGCCGAGGTGATGGCGACAGGTGATGCAGCGGAGAACGGGGCAGCGATCCTGGGCACCGCGATGGGAGAGGCGGCGATGGTCTCCCAGGACGACGCTAAGCAGGGGAGATCGGCGGGGCCGACCGAGGCCATCACGCCGCACGATCAACCGACTGACGGGGGTGGACCGAGTGTGTCTCTCGACTCAGTGGCGGGCCAGGCGGGCCTGGAGACACTACATTTCCGTGTAAAGATCGACGAGCGCTCTGCTATGACTTTGGTGGACAGTGGTGCTTCGCTCAACTTCATTGGGGCGGAGTTTGCGGGAACACTAATGCAGGAGGCGTGCGAGGTGGAGTCGTTGGTGGTCAAGGTCGCGAATGGCGCACCCATACGATGTAACAAGGTTTACCGAGGACTTAGACTTGACATTCAGGGTTTGGAATTCTCAGCGGATCTGTATGTGCTTCGGATCAGGGGGTAGGACGTGATACTAGGATGTCGTGGCTACGTAGTCTGGGTCCGGTTATCAGTGATTGGACTAGGTTGACTATGTGTTTTAAATGGAGGGATAAGGAGTGGACTTTGCAGGGATTGACCACGGTGATGGGGTCGATTTCCATCAAAGAGTGCACAGCCGGAGGTGAGGCGTACTTCGTGGTCCTTTGTTGGTCGCTGACGACGCCAGAGACGAAGACCGTCGCGGCTGATCTGCAGGCCATGCTCAACCGATTCCCGGATATATTCCAGACTCCCGCGACCCTTCCTCCTCACTGTCAGGTTGATCATCGTATTAACTTGAAGGAATGGGTGGAGGCTGTGAATGTACGACCCTATCGATATGGACACTCGCAGAAGGAAGAAATTGAACGCCAGGTGGGAGAGATGCTCTAGACAGAGTTGATTCGTCCAAGCACCAATCCGTTTTCTTCACCGGTACTCCTGGTAAAGAAAAAGGACGAGACATGGCGTTTCTGTACAGATTACCAGGCCCTCAATAAGGCGACAGTGAACGACAGGTTCCCGATTCCGACCATTGATGATATGTTGGATGAGCTCCACGGATCGGCCTACTTCACCAAGCTGGATTTACGGGCCGGGTACCACCAGATACATATGGAGGAGGAGGATGTGCATAAGATGAATTTCCGGACTCATAGCGGACACTATGAGTACCTGGTAATGTCGTTCGGCTTGTGTAATGCACCCTCGACTTTTCAGGCAGCAATGAATGATATATTTCGTTCTCTCCTTCGCCAATATGTTTTGGTGTTCTTTAATGATATACTTGTCTATAGTCCCACATGAGAGGATCACTTGAAGCATTTACAGAGAGTGTTCAAGATACTCCGCCAACACCAGTATTATGTCAAGGCTTCCAAGTGTGCATTTGGGAGTCAGGAGGTGGATTATTTCGGGCATGTTGTGACGCCTCAAGGAGTACGGGTTGACCAGACCAAAATTCAGGCAATGGTGGAGTGGCCAATTCCAACTACGGTGACAGAGTTGAGAGGCTTTCTGGGACTGATGGGGTATTACCGAAAGTTTGTCAAGGGGTACAACATGATCGCTTGACCTCTGACTAATCTTCTGAAGAAGGGTGGATTTGAGTGGTCTCAGGCGGCGGGGGACTCATTCCAGGAACTGAAGCAGGCTATGACGACGACACCCACTCTGGCTATGCCGGACTTCTCTAAGTCGTTCGTGATCGAAGCTGATGCTTCCGGCAGGAGAATCGGGGCGGTACTATCCCAAGATCGTCACCCAATAGCTTATCTAAGCAAGACCTTGGCCCCGTCCAAGGAATCATGGTTGACCTATAAGAAGGAAATGCAGGCTATCATCACTGTAGTACATGCATGGAGACCGTACTTATAGGGGCAGCAGTTCCACGTCTACACCGCCCACTAGAGCCTGCGGAACCTCTAAGAGCAGAAGGTTTCTACACCAGATCAGCATAAATGGGTCTCTAAGCTGTTGGGATATGACTACGAGATTCACTACCTACCCGGTCCCACTAACGTGGTTGCAGACAGGCTTTCCAGGAAACCATGAGGTGAGATACTCGCGGCAGTGACGGGTCCAGTACCCCAGTTCTAGGACGCCCTGCACGAGTTGACAGGGACGGATCCATACCTACAGGAGTGTCGGGCCATCGCGGATAGCGAGAACCCGTGCTACTATACCTTTCGGCAAGGCCTGGTATTTTTCAAAGGACTCCTGGTCCTTCCACGGGGATCATCCTTCCTTGGTGACGACCATACTGCAGGAGTTCCATGATTCACCCTTCGGTGACCATTCCGGGGTCGAGCGCACTCTTCACCGGGTTCGACCTCAGTTCTACTGGCCGTAGATGGGTCAGGATGTGAGGAGTTATGTGGACTCCTGTGACACTTGCCAGAGGGTCAAGGCTTCGCAGCTTCAACCTGCGGGTCTGCTACAGCCGTTGCCGATCCCGAAACAGGTATGGGAGGACATCAGCATGGATTTCATTGTCGGTCTACCACCTTCAAGAGGAAGGATCGTCCTGTTCGTGTTAGTTGACAGACTCACCAAATATGTGCACTTCATGGCTTTAGCACATCCGTACACGGCGAAGGCAGTAGCAGAGCAGTTTGTGCTGGGGGTGGTGAGGCACCACGGGTTTCTGAGGTAGATAGTAAGTGATCGGGACTCCGTTTTTCCGAGTCGCTTCTGGCAGGAGGTATTTTCCATGGCCAAGACCATGTTGCGGATGAGTTCAGCCTATCATCCTCAGACGGACGGACAGACCGAGGGGATTAAGAGGCACTTGGAGCAGTACCTTCGTTGCTTTGCGCACTAGCAGCCGAAGAACTGGTTGGCCATGGTTCCGTGGGCGGAGTTATGGTATAATACCACCTATCAACGAGCCATCAAGATGTCACCGTTCGAGGCTTTGTATGAGCGACCTCCTCCTTCCCTGGTGCGCTACCAGAGCGGAGCGAGTGCAGTGAATGCGGTGGATTGGTGACGGAGACCTAAAGCTGAAGCCACTGCGGGTGCTTGAGACGAGGTGGACGAGGAAGGAGGATCGCATTGTGGAGGAGATCCTAGTCGAGTGGCAGCATGTGGAGCCAGAGGACGTGACTTGGGAAGAGACTTCCCTGCTGAAGCAGCGTTACCCCACCTTCGACATTGAGGGAAAGTTTAATTTTGACGGGATAGGGGATGATCGAAACCCGCCGAGCGGGTTAGGCGAGTAGGGTGGGTCGGCCGCTTGGCCCGCATTTGCTTGTTATTTCGGTACCCATATACAAGGGTTCAAAACAGTATTTTCATATTAAGCAATAAGAAAGAATTAAATCTCTAATCTCTTCTTCTCTCAATTCTTCCCCAATTCTTCTAATTCCTAATTCCTTCTATTCTTCAATTCCCAATTCCCCTTTCTCAACTAAAGGTTTCTATCAGAGATAAAAGGCTAAAAGAAGAGTTTCAGGCTGCTTAGTGCAGAATAGTACCTGCAGCCCTCGGAGATGATGCTATTCCATAAAGAATTTGGAGTATAGAAGCTTGAGCTTGAGAAGAGACAACTGAGAGAAGCTTTAAGAGACTTGAAACTATTGCAGCAGACTACATTGTGTGGCCTCTTTGGTCCATAGATGCCAACTCCCCGTGCCCTGGATTTGATACTTTGTTTGCAATTGCCGATGCAGCCAAGTCTGTGTGTTTTGATTAAACTATCTCATTCTTCAAAAGTATATCGGTGAGCACGGGAAGTGCATCAGCATCAACAAGGATAGTTGCATTGTCATCAAAAGTTGGTAGGTTACACAAGGCTTTCAAGCTTGCCCTTTGAGCTTCAGGGTTAGAGAGAAACCCAACAAGTATCTTTGCACTTCTCCTGGCAAGTTCTTCTTTGATGCTATTGGTTAATGATGACTCGATATTTGCACATGTTTTCCCCTTTGTTTCTTGATCGTTTGAGCTTTAATTATCGTGTCTTTGGCCTATTTTGTGCTAGGTTGTGTTCCTTTGTCACATTTCAGGTCCTAGTACATAAAGTGAAGCATAGGCGCAAGTTTCAAGTCAATCAGAGATCAATTGGCGATTAGGGAGAAGAAACTCGGGCATGACCCGAAGAAGAATAGATTTCTACCTCACTTTATGGACAAATAATCATGAAAGCTTGTCATGAAAAGAAAGAGGACGAGACTACGAGCATCTGGGATCAAACGGCGACTGATTCGGAGTCCGAACGAGGGAGAAACGAAGCATTGAATATAGGGGAACAGGTTCGGCAGTAAAAACACGGGCGCGCCTAAATCAAATCACGGCCGTGTCCATATTTAGGCACGACCGTATTTTGGCCGAAGAGGGCTGCTGGGGGCAAAACACGGGCGGGCAAAAGCAAAACACGGTCGTGTCCTCGACCATGTTTTGCCCAGAATCGGGTTTTTTAGGCAGATTGAAGCCAAAGGAAGAGAGAGCTGGGTTTTGGACCCCAAACACCCAAGGGACGAACCAAAGAGAGAGAGGGCGATTTGAGGGCATTCTAAGAGTGGAATTAGAGGATTTCTTTGCCTTGGAAGCTCGAGGAACAAGCCCGGACTTGAAGACTGATCATCTGAAGATTCTTACTGCAGTCTCTCTCTTCTCTATGGAGTAACTTCCCTTCACTTAGGTTTTGAGGAACCCTAGCTATGTTTGTTTGATTGGATGACTGTATGAGTACTCTGACTTGATAATCTTGAGTTCATATTCAATCTATGCATGTTTTCATGATTCAATTCTGCTTTAGTCCAGATTATTGATTCTGCTTTGATCCTATGAGAGCGAATACCTGATTAGGTCAATAGAGCACCATAGATTGATAGTAGTGGATCGATTGCTTTAGTCGAGGGTTGGTTCACTGCTTTGTATCGATTGAGAACCTCTTTCGATAGAAGGAGTCTAGTTCAGAACGCCTTGATCGGTTGTTCTAGAGAAGGATACGTCCCTCTAGGCAATTGACTCAAGAGGGCCTTGTTCCTTTAGTCGAGACTCAAGGTCTAGTCAAGGATTCTCCGCATTGTGAAAGAAAGTGAAACAAGTTAGAAATCATCAATCGTTAGTCTGGCTAGTGGCTAGGGAAAATCATACCTACGCGAGTTCCCAACCTGTAATTAGATTAACTTTAACTGTAGTTTGTTAGAGTAGTTTTAGTTCTTCCATCTTAATCTGGTTTGCTAGATAAGAAACTGAAGCTGAGTAATAGTAACTCTAGAGACCCGTGGATTCGATATTTATTATTTGAGCCACTATACTGCAGTCCCTTTCATTGGTTACACTTGGCCTTTGTTAGGAGTTGTGTCATAGCGAGTCAGTTAAAGTCATCCTTCCCAGAATAGATTCCATCTCTATCTTAACGTCATCCGAACCTGTTCAAGTAAGAGGTCGCAGCGCAAGTAAGTTAGTAAATTCGTGCCATCATAGGTTCACCTGCATCTATCTTACTGAACTTGCATTCTAATCCATTTGGAGAGTTCACAAACGAATCTAGCATGGTTACACATATCTATCTCTATACCACTGCTCCAATTTTCTGAGAAATGCTTAACATATAATCAACCAAAAAGGGCATAATAGGTATATACCTTCACATAAACGAGTAACTAGGGGCTCAAATCTTCTAGGTACTGCCAATGGTTGAATATTTTCTTCCAACTGTTCTAGCCTCTTCAAAAGTTCATCTGCAAGATTTGACAAGGCAGGATGATCCAGATTCCCTGCCATACTGGAAAGAAGAACTAGTGCCCCTTCCTCTGATGTGATTTTGATACAATAATCTTCATCATTAGTGAACTCCAGGAATAGCTTCACAACATATTCTCGCTCTTTCTCTGAGGTATAGCCAGTCTACTGACACCTTCTCTGAGCATTATGTTCTATAAAATTCAAATGCACTCCATCAGAAAAGAGCATTCATATACCTCCCAATACAACTTCTCGTCCAGGAGATGGAAGAAATGCACAACAGAAACACTGTAAGAGATGAAACAACTATGGTGGCATGTGATGACAACTACGGTTCACAAAAATAATGCATCAAACTGATACGACTACGTCAGTGAGGTAATGGCCTAGAAAATGAGTAATACCACACCCCAAAACAGAGGCAAGCAAACTAACCTTGTTTTCTTCATCCTTGGCCATGCTAAACAAGGCCATAAGAGCTTTGCTCCTCAGACGTGTGCCCATATCCTTGGACGAATTCCTAAGCAACTTAACCATAAGCACAACAAGACCAGCATTCCTTACTTTATACCGATGGGAGGAATGTTCTTCGGATATCCAGTAAACATTGTCCAATGCACGTTCGATGGACTCCACGACAACAGGCTCCCTACTGATATTCTCCACAACACCTTTAACCTGAATCTCAACGTTCCTACTGATCCACTCCATGATTGCTCCGCCAACCCAAGATTCGGCTTCAATTACAAGGTCTTCAAAACCACTCCTGTAATCAGACAGGTCGGATCCCATCCATCCTCCACGCATTGGGTGAACCAGTACTGAATGACTTTCTTCTCATAGTTCTGGGAAGACTCCAACAACAACACAGGCTCCTTCATGACTTCTTTGGTCAGGGACACAGAAAATTCCTGAAAGGTGACAAGTTAGCTTCCTCCTCTGAATCCAAGTCCTATTTCAGTGCGTCCAGATCAGCATCAGTCGACCAGCTGTCGAGAATTTTCTCCAGAGAAACTCTTTCTGAGATGGAATTCAACCGCACCACGTCGGCTTTGAAAAGCTTCACTTGCTCAGATAGCTCTTGATGGTTGCTTGCATCAACCCCTAGAGCTCGCGCTAAATCCATGACAATTGCACTCTGCACTGGCTTCGTTGTTGCCCTTCCCTGCCCTTCTTTCTCCAACGTGCGATGGACTCGCTCTTCATTTTCCGTCACCTAAACTCATACCGCCATTTCCACAGGATTATGAACAACTAATTGACAGATAACAGAGCTTTTTAAATCGATTATTCTCAGCATGACAAAGAGATGATTCCCAGGGCAGAAGGAGACTTACTCTGAATTTCTCTTGCTTCATGTCACGGGCTAGATCGGCAGTCTTCTTGCAAAGATCGGCGATGATGTTGTCGTCGAGCAGCGTTGACTCAATCAGCTCCAGCCAGATCCGAATGGCAACCGTCTGCTCCAGAAGAGATGAGCAGAGGAACTGGCAGTTGACCAGAACTCCGATCTTGCTCCTCTTCTTGTAGGCCGAAATCGTCTCCGCAGCATCAGAGAGATCTCCGGAGATGCCTTTCAGCCCGGTTTCCGCCGAAGCTAAGAGCGACGGCGAGGACCGGAGGAGCTGGCTGACGATGAGCTAAAGACGGTGGGCATATCCGGTGAACTGGTGAGAGTTCTCGAAGGACTCCTGGTCTGAGCTGGTGGAGCAGAGTTCGGATAAGGAGCGGTAGATTGATTCCACCGCCGCGGGAAGTGGCGGCGCCGAAAATATTTTTGGGTTTGAGTCGGAGTAGTAGGTGCGGCGGTGGATTATGGAATGTCTAGACGTTGCATTTCGGAAATCAGTATCAGCAGCTGCTGGAGGGAATTGTCTTTGCTCTTCTTCGTGCTCGCCCGCTGAACTGCAGAACAGTTAAAATCTTGACTTTTTGGCGCAGACTTTTAATGAGTCCACTCCTCTCCTTTGCCGGGAAGGTGAGGAGGAGACGATGACGCAAACCTCGATCCGTTTGTTAATGGATGACCCGATTGCAGATCTCGGAGAAGCCTGCCAAACTCGAGGCTAAGAGGACAGTTTGCGTCAAAAAATAATTAGAACAGAAAGCAGAGTAGAGTGGATTGCTCTGGCTCTGCTCTGGTAACAGAGATGGACTTGATTGAGCTTTCTCTTCATATTTGTTTATGGTTTTTAGCTTCGTGTTTGAGAGAGTGCTGGCCAGAATGCACTAGTTATTAAAAAAATTCCAAAAATACAGTACTTATGAAAATATTTTCCAAAATACAGCAGTTTGATCATCACCGTTGTCGACCAAAACAGTGAACAACATCTCCGCTGCAAAGAAAAACGGTGAATGTATCACCGTTTTGGACTTAAGCGGGGAAACTATCACCGCATTACTCGTAAATGGTGAAACCTTCACCGTTTCTGTTAAAAACGGTCGTCCAGAAAGGGGATTTTTTACCACGTTTTACAACCCTGGTAGGTTGGAAGTTAGGTAACAGCCAGGGGTGTACATGGGTCGGGTGGTTTGGGTTTAGACATTTTAATCACCCGATCCATGCACTACGGTTTGGGAAATATGAACCCAAACCCACCCAAAAAAAATCTAAACCCTGCGGTTTGTTTCTAATTGGGTTGGGTCGGGTTGACAATATTTTTAAGTAAAAACCCAACCCAACACAAAATATGTAATTATTCTACATCATAAAAATATTTTATAACAAATTAAAAATTTCAAACGAATAAACTGAGGTGAAAGGTATCAAAATTCACAAATATTGTTTGAAGTTTAATAAAACTTGATTTACTTCAACTTATGTCTAGTTTTTTTCACGACATTTGTTGAAATAGGCTAAAACGATTACAAATGAACACATCCATAATATGATATTCTTTTAAAATTATACAAAAGAAAGAAAAAAATTACGTGAATCATAGCTATATTAAATATATGTCTAAACTTTAAGTCGAAGAATGCATTAGATTAGTGAGACTTAAAGAGAAAAACATGGCGAAATATCTTAATTTTCTCATAAGTATGACTATATACGACATAAATATTTTTTTTGATACGAACTCATACCAATAATTGGAACACGGGTTGGGTCGGGTTCTACGGGTTGTGTAATCCAAAATCCAAACCCAACCCAAAAGAGGCGGGTTGTACAAAAGAAAACCCTCACCCAACCCAAAATCTTCGATTTAGCGATAAATACGGGTGGGTTGGGTCAGGTTGGACGGGTGGGTCGGTTTGCGGGTGTGTTTGTTCACCCCTAGTAACAGCGACCTAGCTTTCACCGTCTTGGTCGAAAGCGGTGATGTGTTCACCGCTATTGTCCAGCGTGGTGATTAGGCCCCACATTTTTCTATAAAAACCCATCACTCAGGCATCTCCAGCTGCCTTACAACAATTCAGTACAAAATTAGTGCTTTTTGGTCCTTTTCTCAGTTGGCTTACAGCAACAAGAAACTCACCGGGATTCGGTATGTTATAATTATGTATTGTTTACATGTTGATTTATTGATAATTATATGTCTGTATTTAGTGAATTTTGGTTAGAGATATGTTATGTTATGTTAGAGATATTGGCAAATATGTTATGTTAGAGATATTTAGATGAATTATGGTATGATTGATGTTAGTTAGTTATGAATTTAGATGAATTTGTTTAGTTTTCTCATGATAGATCAGTTAGTTGCGGTTGTTAATGGGTTTGGATGATATTATTTTTGTATCCCTAATGTACTAATTATACTATAGTAAGCTTATTCGAGTTAAGCTAATAGTTACTTATTGTAATTTGCAGACATGGGTAAATGTAAGAAGTTTCAACTTATTATTCGGTGGAATGGTCGGGTGACAAACTCGAACTTTGGGATCGACTATGAAAATGGCGAATCCACTATGCTAAAAATTGATTCGAGATTCACGTGGCAAGAACTACGTGATATTTGTGCAGAAAGAACTTGTATGGACGGGCAAAGGAGAGTTGGTCAAATTACTTACCGGTATCCAAACATGAGTGCTGGCGGAGTTATGTGTAGACACCATTTTTGTCCGGGTTAAAAACATATTTAATTGAATAAAATTTAGTTTTCACTAAAGGTTGACAATAGCAAACCTTAGAAGACTATCCAAATAAAGCGTATTTCGTATTGTTTGGGATGATTCACGTTTGGCTTAGCCCTTTGAGATTAGCAATAGCAAATCTCGGTTGAGACAACCTAATATTAAACAGTTGCTTAGTTTGGTTACCTTTAGGTTGACGTTTAAATTGTGTACTTAGACTATTTGGCTTTTGATTGGATTGAACTCTGATTTCAAGACAATAAGAGAAAAGTTGAATTAAAAAAAAAAACAAATAACAATTCATTTAAGAACAATTACAATAAATTAACTACATAATTAGAACAATTAATAATTACAATTTTACGATTAAGCTCAAAACTGCCCAAGTCAAAAGACCCTCAATCAAACCAGTCAACAAAGTCAAACCGGTCAGAGATTGGGTCTGACCAAACCCATATCGGTCCGACCCAACTCAGACCGTTCCGACCACGACCGGCACTGTTGTAAGCTTTGGGGAACAAGTTTTCTTTTTCTATAAAAACCCACCTGTTCCATACGAAAGAAAGGAGGGGGAAAAAGGGAGCAGATACCCTCTCTCCTTCTTCTTCTTCTTCTTCATCTCTGGATCATTCCCAAACTCCCTTCCTCATTGCACACACAGAACCACTTCTCTTCTTTCTCTTTACCACAAACCCACATAAACAGAGGACTTCTCTGGGAACCTTTTCTCTAGAGACAGCTTCTTCTTCCCCACGCCTCCACTTCCTGAAACAAAGACAGACAATGATGAGTACAAGACCTCCTCTCCTAATACCGATAAAAACAGAGCAGAAAAGAGAGAACAAAACTCTGCAAAAAAGAAATCTGGAAAGGGGCGGCTCCCTTCTTCTTCTTCCCCACAACAACACAAAAGAAGGCAAGCAGTCCGCAAAAACACAATAGCAGCAGATATATCCACAGAACCGGGGAAAGAAGCTCCAACCCTTCCTCAAACTTCAAAACAAAAGGTTGGTGGCTCGAGCTGAACCCTTCCTTCTATTTCCATCATCATTCACAATCGTCTAACTTCTCCTAATCATGTGCGGTAAAGTTTTACTCTTCTCAAAAGAAACTCAATCAACCCCATTCAAACTACAAGCAGGCTGATTTTGTTTAAAAGGAATATACTTAATCTACCCCAAGCAAATTACAATCTGACTGATTTCATCTACTTATCATTATCGTTATTGTTTATCAGTTCTATTCTCATTCAACCAATTAACCTACCATCATCTACCTGTATACACTCATCTTACTATCTAAGTCCCTTTTACATTTTAAGCACTTACCATTATCATCATCCTTGTATTTATTTATCTTCTCTTTCTATTTATAAAAACTACACAGTTTACGAATATCTTTGTTCAAGTTAGCTTATGCATATTATTACAGCTCTTAATAATCTACTAATGCCAATATAGCTATATGTTTCATCTATCATCTCATTTAAACTTCCACAATGTTAGTATGAAATTCAATCATTACATACATGTGCAAAACAAAGCTAAAACCGCTAATGAATCACGGAAGATAAAGCAACAGGCCATAATCCCAATCATTACCCAATTTTCAGAACTGGAAGCATCGTGAACACCATAATCTTCTAGAATCTAAAGCCCCTACAATCCAACCCAAAAAGTTGTAGTTTGCATAAATCCCCAAAGTTATACCATCCTCACCACAATTTCCAGATTATAAAAACTACTCCAAAGTTAAAACTAATCCACAAAAACTCCAGTTTGCGTAGTACCCAAACCAAACCTTTATTTCAAAACCCATAATTTCAGATCATCAAAACCTTCACCTCATCAAACCCAAAACTCACTTAAATACTACATAGAACTTCAAATTTGCAAAACCCTCCAAACAAGCATAGATTACAATTTAACTCGACCATGAAATCTATGTTTAGTTTCAGAATCCCCAAACAGGTCTTGAGATGTGTTTAGGGAGGTGTCACCTGTATTTGCCAATGTTCTCGACAATCTGCATTTCAAATATTAAGTCTCATTTGAAATAATTATCTACGTATATTTCTTTTCTAAAAATTCTTAATACGAAATGTTATGGTTAATAGATTGTGATAGTATTTTCGTATTAAGTCTCTTTTAAAGCTATTAACCATTCATATTAAAATTTCGTAAGATGAAAATTTGTTCTATCCTACAAAATATCAAAACTTAAACACGAGTCAATAGAGCGTGTTTGGTTCCTTTCTTTAAAAATAAATCAACGTACCGAACTACATGGACTTTGATCCCGATTAACTCGGGTACGTAGGCAACCAATAGGTTCGAGTCCAACTAATAAAAAAATATTTTCTTTACTTTCTAGATTTTGCCACAATAGACGGATAATCTAATTGTATACCAATTTTAACTCATTAGTCCAATTGGACTCCAAAATACGTAATTAACAAATTTTAAATAATAACTATCTAATTATCAAAGGCAAAATACACTTGTATAGCCAAAATTTTCACGATTTTGCCTATAATAGCCAATTTTAGAGAAATAGTACTTATAGCCACTTCGGTCCATTTCTTTAACGGTGTCAGTTAATAGGCTGACTGGACATAAAAAAAAATGAGTTGGCGAGTTTTTTCATTAACAATTCCACTCTGGTTAACGACAAAAAAAAAAACAATTCCACTCTGGATTAAGTTTAAAAAATAAAAATAAAAAATGAACGAAAAAGTCTCCACCCATCCCTCCTTTTTCACTTTCCCATTCTTTCTCTTCGCTTCTCTCTCTTCCGCCACGCATCCCTAATTTTCCAAACCACCACCACCACCGATTCCCCCGACGCCATTTCCTTCTTCGCTCCCTATGTTGTCCAACCACAATGCCCTCCTCTTTGACGAGAACTCCATCGTCTCCGTCGCTAGACAGAGGTTATTCCATAAAGGCGGCGACGAGCTCCTCAAGGACCAGTCGATCCAATCGATGGGCTCGCTGGAAGTAGGGAAGAGGAGGGAGAGGCGAATCCATTTTCCCCACCACCGGAGACTCAACCGCAGCAGTAGGATTCGACCCGCCACCATCCCCAATCCCATGGGAATTCACAAGCGTTTCCGATGATGCGTACCCTTTAGTGGAAGCGGAGAAGGCGCGAGCAGAACCAGTCTCACCGATTGAAGTGTTGGAAGAGGGAGACGATGATAATGGATGCTGCCTTGGAGAGAGACTGCGACGAGGAATAAGTGCCTTGTAGAGATAGGGTTTTGGGTTCTGTTCACTATTTCCAGATCTGCAATTCCGGCTGCTTCTGGTTTCGTTTGATTGAAGGATTCCCCAAAGTAAGGGTTCCAAATGACACAGTCACACAGATCAATACATCACAAAGCTAGCAATTAATCAAAAAATGTCTCGCTTCGTGATGGGAGTCCAACAATCTATGGCTGATTGCCATCAACGACTGCACGATCAGGGTGATGGAAGGCGCGTACGTCCCCAATCTCAACACCCACGGCATCCTGAAAAATCCCTCCGACTGGAAGCAAGCGGTCCGGATCGGGACCAAAGCGTACTGCACCCACCGTGAGCTGGAAGTGTTCTTCTTCCTCTTCGTGGCTAGGTGGGAGAATAGAAAAGGGGGAGATGAAAATGAGTAGTTGGTGTTTGATTTGAGAAGACGAAGGAGATCAGATGTGGGATGGACACGGTGGACAGATGTGGGAAGAAGAAGGAGATCAGATGAGAAATGGAGAGGAATTGAGGAAACTTTTCATCTCCTTTTTCTTTATTTATTTATTTATTTTTTGTAATTAATTATAAAGAAAAGTTTACTTTTTTATTTTATTAAATTTAAGTTATGACGTGTCACTTTTGGCTTATTTGGCGCTGATGTGTGTTCTTATTGAGAGCCTAGTCAGCGAACCGTCAAAAAGGTTGACGGTGTTATTAAAGTATTTAACGGAAATGGCTAGATTTGTCATACAACAATTAGAAAATCGGGCTATAAGTGGTATTTCTTCAAAATTGGCTATTATTGGCAAAAGCGTGAAAATTTTGGCTATACAAATGTATTTTGCCTTAATCAAATCATATAATTAAATACATCAAGAAAGCCGCAAATAATAATACACCCAATTCTTAAAAAAACTTATCGATTTAAGTAGTACCCATTTGGGGCGTTGTGGGGTGTGAATACACTTTCCCACACGTAACTGTACTCCCGATCCCAAATTACTAATATTTCGCAGACCAAATTCCGGTGTCGACACTTAGGTCGAGACCGGACTAAATGAGTGTTCGATCCACTCCAAGTAAGGTCGATGGCGACTCCGATCGTGACGCGACGGATCCCCCGATTCGGAGGGGCGGTTGCGACAGTGGCGACTCCGCTGGGGAATTCTAAGAGTCAAGCTACATTTACTAAACTGATAAGTTTTCTTACTATCTTTGATTTGTTGGGTGTTTACTTTCTTCATTTGTACATCAATATTGCCATGTATTTAATTATTTGCATTCATGCATAAAAAACTCTATACCCGAGCTCTACCTTAAGAAACTGAAAGGAGTACCGTGACTCTTACAATAGTAGGAGTCATGCGAAACTTTCTAACCAAGTTGAACTCAAATTCGAGGTTGATTTGAGGTATTCGGCTAGCTCGAAAGAGCTATAGACAGATACAACTTGGGAACCAATATCCTAGAACTCCTTACCCAGCATATAGTCAATTTAGATGCTACCCTAAATTATCCAAAATGAATTCCCAAGCCACCTTTAACCTCATCGTTAAACCTTCCAACAACCCTAGGTTCATCTAAATGGGGTAATGTTTGTTTTTATATATGCGTGCTTATGACGTGATGAATGGTGCTTTATCGGTTATTCATAAATGACCTGATATGCACAAAAGTTTTAACTCGTGATTATCATTCTCCATTCATTCATTATACAATCAATCATGAAGGTAATTTTACCAGCATTCATGCATTAACTAAAAATTCATCTTGCATATGCACAGTCTTATCATTTAGCATGACTATCATACATCCATCTCATTTAGAAACATGTAACAATTTAACCATAACAAATCAAATCAAGGGTTTTCTAAAGTTGTTCATCCACGAGGACATAGTCAAACCCTTAAGTACCAGATCCAAGGTTATGCTTGTACGGTGTCATTCCAAAAGGATCGGACGACATTAAATGGAGTTCCTCAAATCTTGGAAAAAAAATTAAAAGCAGTTATCATATTCTTGATGATTTGGTCAAATTTGAAGAACCAAGGTGCCAAATCGTCCATACATCGACAATGGCCCATTGACCACTTATGGGGATTAGTTGGCACACTGCAAGACGAAGCTCTATTCAATAATGATGTCAATCCTCACGAGCAAATGAGCATGAATGCGTATTACCTTATGTATCAAACAATCTCCTTCATACTAAAGAATAGAATGTCATTTGCATTTCCACCAATTTGGGACATTGTGTGACTACTACCAATTTTGATTTAGAAGTTTGCATCAATGATTCCTTCTCTTTACAAAATGATGGACATCTTTCCAAAAAAAAAAAACTTTAAGATCAACTTGTTCTCAAGTTAAGCCATGATATTTTCATATTAAGCCAATATAAGCACCCCACTGGTGTCGAGTGATTTATAAATACTTAGTCGATATCAATAATTTTTGCAGCAGAGTGTGCACACTCTACCGGTGTCGATAGTTTGAGCACCCCCACTAAACTTGAGAGTTTAAACACCCCACTAGTGTCCATAAGTAACATGAGCTAAATAGTCAAAGGGTGCAACGAGGATACGACATCAGGCTATTTGTAGAGGCTTGTCACTGCCATTTTCGAACATCTCTATCAAATCAGGGCTCGACTAGAAAGGGGGTTGAGTAGCCTAATTACTGTATCAAAATTCTCAAATTTCTCACAGAATCCTCATGACTAGAAGGTTGGAGAAGCTGAAAGATCCTATTTGACGAACTCGTTGGTGCTCAAAATCAAAAGTGTCAAAATGACACCATGTAGGGGAAATTACCAAGGCAAGTAAGTCCCACACATACAAAAAAGAGCAAAAGCAAAAAAAAAAAAAACCAAAAAGGCAACGAAAAATAAGAAAAAGCTCGTGGGACTTACACGTTAGATACCCCTGCACGAGCGCTTGAAGTCATAATTACTCAAACTAGTCACGAGTGAAGGTTAATGACTACCTTTTCTAAAATGCAAAAAGAATAATTTCGAGTCTACCGTCAACGTGGTCACAAAAGCGATGTACAGTCACCGTCTCAACCAACCTGTCTACACACTCCTGCGGGGGCTAGTCATCAAATTTATCACCTATCCAAATGAAGAGTATTCGCCTGCCAAGCTTGAAGAAATGACACAAGTAAACTCGAATAAGACGGGCACCCAAGAAAAGAATGCCAGTCTGATCTAAAATCCACTCCATGATCATCCTCACTTTCCATCACTTGAACTCTCCCTTTCAAGATAAACAAAAACCACCATGATTATAATACTTCAAGATCCATGCCTTCGCCACACAAGGGACTTCAACATTTATTATTTTGATAACCAAAGAGAATTCAAAGCATGTATCGTACCAAGACCTCATTTATCCATCCTTTCAAGTGAAAACAAGGACCTCAAAAAATGAGAAGATTTCTACTCAATTAACTCAATTACTTCCCTAATCGAGCTTACCTCCCAAAACCAAAATTTCTAGACAATGGGGCAACTTGAGTGAAGACATGTCCACAAAGATACCCAAGATAGCCACCATTCGCAAGGAAAATAAGATATCCTTAATAAATATCTCATATATCGATCAACCAGCTTCATACTTTGGGGGCAAGTCAGAATCCCTCAGCAGGATACTTTAGAAGATGAAGGATGTGAGACTCATTTATCCATCATTTATTTGAGAAATTCAGCTTCCCGGAACATAAGGACTCCTACGTACAAGAGCCTCCTTCCATGAAAGTTCTAGAACTCACATGACGGGGCCATATTGAGGTCACCCGAACTCTGCATGATCAACAAACCTATACCTCAGGCACACCTGTCCCCCAACATGGTGACAAGAATCTTGATAGTAGCTGAAGTATCGAAAACTCGAAGCACCCATAGGATTGAGTGGGAGTGAAACTGAGAGTGAGAATGAGAGCGAGGGCTTATGAATATTCTCATGGCTTGGCTTATGGAAAAAAGTTTTTAAATAATGTGGCAATAACCACACAAGAAATCTTTTTCTCATGTTGCACACACTTCCCTCAAGCGAGGCTTTGATTTCTAAAATCAGGTTCTCATCATACTTTCTCAAATGAGAATTTCCAAACTTTGTTGCATTCATCTTAAGTCAAGATTGGTAAAAGTCACATTTTGTTCCGAAAAGAGGAAAACAAGTAACATATCTACGGGGCAAGATGAGAAGACCCTGAGTAGAAGCAGTTCAAATACCCATGAAGTGGTTCTCCAAGTCCATCAACTCATGAGTAAATGGGGAATCTCAGATATTCTGAATCATTCCGTTCAAGCTACCCAACCTGTCAATCAAACTATCCTTCAACGAAATATTTTGTACATCATACCTCTCGGCGAAATCAATCAAGCATGTCTAGAAAACCGACATCAATAAGACAATACCCCGAGATAAAAAATTTCCTCTTAGCCAAGCACGACATGCTCACATGGCAAGAAGATCAATTAAACTAAATGATCACACTATTGCTGTACCACCATGCTACATAATCCTCCTACATAATCAATCTACCAGGCACATATCATGAATAAGAAGGTCATATGGCTAACGCATCAGCCACTCAAGCACCAGTGTCCAAGGTAGAGAAAACTGAAGACCAACCTTTCATCAAGTCCCCAAAAATACAATACCCTGGGCTCACTAAGAAAACAAAGAGGACAAACTAGATGGCAAGCCCAGTACCTCGAGATGATGACATGCGCCAAAGAAAGGAAGTACTCATCGGTTGCACCCATTCTACTCCAGCGCAAGCATAACTAAAGATCAAGCTTACTAAAGGGACAATGACGTAGTTCTTTGTGGATGATTGATTTAAGAGAATTCTAGACATTAATATTAAACCATGATGAACGATAAGATCTTTTCATTTGCATACTTTTCAACAAATCATCATATAGCTCATCATACAGTCATTCAAAAAGTTCATAGCCAAATTAAATATTATTCATGCATGCTCAAAATTCATTAAAGGAGATGTACACTTTCAACATACCACATCACAATATTACATCATATCATATCACAAAATACCTTGCATTTGCACATCATGGTGTGGTCAAATTCAAATCTCTACCAAAGTCAAGTTTGGCACATACCAAAGATCTAGCTAAACTCAACAAATTGCTTGATTCAATACCTCATATCAAGCATAAAACTCTACACCACTCGTGATCAAGTTAAACTTTCACATATCCTCATGAATTTTATCGCCATGGTACACATGATCAAACATGCCCTACCGCCAAGATACCTAAATACCAACACAGGCCCTACCGCCAAAATACCTAAATACCAACATAGCCCCGATACCTAAATACCAACTCAGGCCCTACCGCCAAGAATAACTAAATACTAACTCAGGCCTTACCGCCACGATACCTAAATACAAACTCAGGCCCTACCGCAAAGAATAACTAAATATGAACTCAGGCCCTACCGTCAAAATACTGAAATACCAACTCATACGGTCATACCTACCTCCAAAACACCTAAACACTAACGCATGTACTCCCGCCTAGACACATAAAAAACACTGACGTAGGCACTACCGCCATAATACTTCAAAACACTAACGCAGACCCTATCGCCAAGATAAGAAAGAACTAACAGAGGTCATAGCGCTTTGAAGATAAAATAAACAAATTATACTACCGCATAAATTTACCTTACCT